TAGTGCCAGAGCGAAAGCTGGCAATGTTTAACGTCATTCCTAAAACCTTGATGCACGCACAGGGACACCAAACTAACGTCATTATGGACACAATGAGTAGGAGGAGCGATGGTGGATCTTCACTACGGCGCTGTTGCAGAACCTCAGTCTTTAATCGTCAAGTTATATGAGGCTCTGAAGGTTTTGATTATCAGATTACGTATATGTAAATTCTGTAAATCCCAACGATTTCCAACGATTCGGGGGCGTGGCCTGATCGGAGGCTTATTCATCCAAATAATCCTCAAGGGTTTGGTGTCAATATGATTATTTTACTGCTCCCAATCGAGTCAGAGCCTCCCCGATCTCGAATCGTAAACACGTTTAATATTTACGATTGTAGGTCTCTCGTTAGCCAATGAGAGTGAGCAGACCAGGAGGCGTCACCAACCGGATGTTGCGTCCTTTTACAGCTCACTGACATGGCAGTGAACAGTGTCTCCTCAGCCAGGAATTCACCCATATTCTTTTTCTCTTTTTTGTTTTTCGCTGCAAAACAGAATGCAAGCCAGTACAGCCAGCTGACGTCGTCGATCATCCATACCTTCTTTCTGCTGAAGTCTCGTTTCAGATCATGTGAGTTTCTGTGAGATCTCGTGTCTGTGGAATCAGCGCTGTAAAATCATTACTGAAAATTACAAGTGTGTGGTGTCCCGGTTTGGCAGAATCACCGTCTTAAGTGTGTGCTTTCAGACGATTCTAATGTTAAAAATCAATTGAAACTGTCCTCAGATCTGTGGGCTCCCACATTCTTATGATTTGGTTACGATTTTAAAAATGTCTCGAGTGAAAACAAGCACTTCCTGTGTTCACAAAAAGTCACCTCATGTGCACAGCTGTATTTCATAAAGCTGATCATGAGTGCAGCCAAACCTCAGAGGAATGACCAGAAGAAGAACAGAAGCTGCAGGGTGAGCCGAGGTCAGTGTCAGAACTCAGGTAACCCTTTGGATCAACTTTATTAACCTGCATTTCTCCAAGCAGGATTCCTAACTTCAGTGGAGGAGTAACAGGCCGCTCTCAGTTTTTTGACTTCACACATTGTGACAAAGCCTCAGAGCTGATAGGAAATCAATTATTTACTCCGTGTCTGTGATCATGACAAGCATAAGACAAATTCATTAACACATGCAAATTACTTTAATTGCAATTATCTCCATATCTTGATAAGCAGAGAGGGGGGGTCTCCCCGCCTCCCTCCATGGTGTAAGTTGGATCCCACACTTGAGCCAATCAAGCCTCATCTGCATTTCATTAATTAACCCGAACAAATTCAAGAAGCAATTAGCAGGAGAGCAAAGATACGAGAGGAGGAGAGTCAAAGGAGAGTCAAAGTTTTCAGAGGGCACGACATCCATTCAGCCTCCTTTGTGCTCAGAGACACAGCAGAGATCAGACCGGCTCTCCAGTATTAGTATGGATATGAAACATATTCATTGCTGGTTGTAGATGCCTTACTCATCACTGTGACCTGTACACAAAATCTGAATGGCCATCCTTAAAGGTATGCAGGTATACACACTGGCTGAGTCTTATTCATAAAGCTCTTCATGGTTTAGTTCCTTCTTATTTATGTTAAAACCTCCAAAGAACCAGAAGCCACTATGCGGGGAAAGAGTGTTTAGTTCTGCTGTTCCCTCTGCAGGGAACTTTCTCCAAAAATGACTTGAAACTGGCGGATCTCATTTCACTTGAAGCCTTTGTCTCGATCTTAAAGGACAACAAGTGCAAGACAATTGGCCCGTGCCTGATGTGTAATCTGTGATCACGACTCTGCACTTTATTTGCCCGCTTGACCAGGTCACCCTTGTGAAAGAAATCTTGATCTCAATGGGTCAATTACCTGGTTAAATAAAGGTTAAACAAAGTAAAAAAAAAATAGAAGGACTGCATAAAGCATGAACGGAGTGACAGTGATGTCACTTATTGGTTTCTGAGAGGTGGTTATGAAGCCCAGCGATGGCGGTCATCATATTGGAAATGCGGTCTCTACCAGAGGTGGGCAAAGACATCAGCTTTGTGCAATGTCATAGAGTTCCTGAGAGGCCATGATGACTTAGAAAACACAAAGTTACACGTGTCTGAATCGAAGAATCGACAAATAATATTACAAAACAATTTTTTTTTAACTTTACAGCCCATCAGCCTCCTCAGACTAGAGAAATTAAAGACAGTCTACCTTCCACCCGTTGGACCCTCCTTATGTCTCAGCTGATACTCTCACACATTGACAAAACTCCTGAAAAGTTCCTGAAATGTTCAGGGTGAGCTGCTGCATGTCGTACCACTCTGACTCTCCAGAATTTTCCCATCAGCCCCCCCCCCCTTAGTTACCAAACTTCCCGCTCAGAGTCGGGGTGAGCTAATGTGACAACGCAGCTGGAAATAATCAGGAAAAATTTACCAGGCATGACTCCCACTCAGCATTTTCTTTAAATTTACTCGCTTTGAAGTTGAGGGTCAGTTTGAGTAGCAACCCCACCTCGTCGTCTGTGCATGTGTTAGCTATCTTCTTATGTTTACACCTCGCTGCCAAATATTGGCCTGACAGTTAAACTACAGCGATTTAAGTCATTTTTACAGATCTGTGTGCACGGCCGTTGTTGTCAAAACGTTGTCGTCTGAACGCTGAACTTTTTTTAAAGGTAACAAAAGACGATTCAGTTTTCAGTGCAGTGGATCGTTTTTGTGTAAATGTGGATTCAGTTCAAGTTAGTTAGATCTCATTTCCATTTTCTGTTTACCTATTGAGGAAGAGGAGCAATCTTGAACTCTACTTTCCCTCTTTTTGTTGGATATCTTCATTGTTTTGAGCAGCTCTGCTTTTACAAAAAAAAAGCTTTAATTCCATCTGATTATTTTGGATCAACAGCGTCCAGGGTAAAAGAAGAAAGAGCGAGTGTTTAAGTGCAAAATAAAATTGTTACAGGTGTTGCAAACAAAGTGTCACCATCTACACTTGAAGCCTAAATAGCAGAAAAACAAAGTTAGCATGTTGCTGTTATACCAGATGCTCACAAACCTGCAAATCATTTCAGTGCAACACGTTCAAGTCCACATGTTTGCTGCTAATGCAACAAGAGTGGACAGATGTTAAGAGGTGAACATCACAGGTTGCTGCTTTTACTCGTTTTTCCAGGTGAGGAGGTTGACTGCTAAAAGCTTGAAAAGAAGCAAACAAGAATTGAGAGTGAATGTAGCTCTGTTGGCCGATGGGAGCAGCACTTTCTTTGATTCATTATTTACTCTGAGCCTTTTTATAGAGAAGAGAAACAGCCAGACTAAACTAAAGCTCTGCAGAGGGAACTTTGTGTGACTCAGGTTTGGAGTCATGAGTGGAGCAGCAGAGGAATGTGTTGAGCCGGCCGTCGTTCTGAAAGAGCACTTTGAAACAGGACCATTAAAAGCCTCATTGTTGCTGTGAATGTGAAGCTAATTGGACTAACCCTGTGAGAGGAGCCGCTCGGCTCTATGGGCCCCGTTAATTTGAAGAGTCACAGCTGGCTACTCATGTGTGCTTCAGTCTCTAATTCTGCTCTGTGGAAAGCCACACCAACAGTATGGAACAGGAGCAATCCTAAAATTAGCGTGGAACAGATGATCCTGTAGTTTCCATGCCAAACATACATATAAAAAAAGGCTAATTAAAAAAAAGAGAGACGCAGATTTCATGCCAGAGAGCAATCAGAGAGGAGAGTTTGGAGAGATCACAGACCAGCAAACATGTTCAAAATGTGGAGTTAAATGTTTTAATTTGAAAGGAATGAACTTTTTATGGTTTAAAACAATACATATTCTGAGTTTGACTTTGTTTTTTCCCCTCAGACAGCTACAGGGAGCACAAACCGTGGGCTGCCTGGTGCCCACAGGAAAAGTCTCCCTCCCTTTTAATTAGACCAGCTCACCAGATTAGGCCTCATTAGGCTGCAGCACTGGAGTGCAGCTAAAGCCCATGCAGGCCTGCAGCGCATCTCGCTTTAATTGCTTCTGTAATGGTCTCGGCTCAGGCCTTTGAAAACCCATTCCTGTGGGTAATCAGCCATTTTTGTCTGAGGAAAGAAGAGCGTTTCTACCTCTTCACTCAGGCTGGAGCGGCTAACTGTTACCCGCTGCTAACTGTAGCTTTAGCCAAATTGCAATCACACTTTCATCACGTGTCAGACGCAGCTGAACGGCTGAATTATTATTGTACGCAATCACTTTCTTTCCATGAACAATTTAAATCCATTAACTTTGACTTTGAAAACACAAATTGCGACACAGAAAGCTTAATTTGAACACTGTAGCACGAAACAAAACAGATTATTAGTCGTTTTGAACATTTTCTCTTTCTTCTCGTGTTCATAAAACATCAACAGAAACAGGACTACTACTGCATAAAACATTCAAAACAGTTTATTTAGCTGCTGCTAAATCTCTTGTAGCACATTATTTCAAAACACAATTTAAACACTGAATGAACCACGAGGTCAAGAGATACACTTGATTTTAACTTTGCATAAGCGTCTGCATAATGGCTGCCTCGAGTCACCTGTGTTTGGATCATCAGCTGCGTGTGTCGTCAAGCTAGCTTAAAATGATGCAGACACAAGATGCTGTTTGTACATAACAGAAGGGGCAGTGTAGAGGGCAGAGGGGATGTGACCATAGGCTGTAAATGCTAGTGGATGAAGCCTGAGTGACGTCGATGGCGGTCACTATATTGGAAATGGGGTCTCAACCTAACGACAGGCTAATTGCTGAGGTGGGACTTAAGCCTCCGGACAAACAGCTACACGCCCCCGTCTGTCAATCAGGTTAGCCACGCGCCTTATTTTGAAAAACTTAAAATCTAAATGGATGAGTTAAAATAATTCATCACCCTTACAGTGTGTGCTGATCGAGTCATGAGCTAATCAGACCTATTCCATTTTTTGAACCAGGCTATAAACATGTTCATTTCTGCTTTTATGAATGGGTGTGTATGTGACTTTCGGGGCTTCTGAAGCCAGCCTCTAGTGGCGACTCGATGAACTGCAGGATTTTGTTTATCCGCTTTGGCTGCATTTTTCGACACTGGAGGTGGCCGCTTGGATGTGACAGAGTCAACAGCAGAGGGGACATCAACAGCAGAACGTTTTTAAGGACAAGCTGACAAACAGAGTCCCCGATAGCCACATCAGATCGTTGTGTCACTTTGTCAAACTAGCTGACGACAGATCAGTTCTGTAAAATGGAAGTCGCAGAAACCTGAAAAACTAAATAGAAACATTGTCAGTGTTTTGTTTCAATGAGTCACCCTGTTAACTGGCGACTCTGGGCCCAATGCATTTGATGCTGCATTTTTATTTATTGAGTTTTTCATCAATACAAATCTGGTTATTACACTTGCACAATATCATGAAAACTAAACAAAGAGAAATTTTGACACAGCAAGTATATCTCCAGCCTGATAAGTGTTCATGATGTCTGAGGCTACGATCAACAGCTGAAGAGGACGAGAACATAAAGAAACGCTGTTCATATGGAGCACTGTTTGTGTCCGCCCTGTGAGGCTTTAGCTGCAGTTAAGACAAAGATATCAGCTGTCTACAAAGATTTCATCTAAAGATTTCAGTTGGTGGCAGGAATGTAACATCAGAGACACACTGTGATCAAAAACAAAGCAGAGATTAAGGTTGTTTTCACACTAGGCACGATATCTCCCCCCTCCGGTCTGCGTTCACATTAGTAACATCTTTCTGGACTCGAGTACACAGTCTGATTCAGCAGGTGTCAGTATGCACATAGTTGATTTGCAAATCGGCTAAAAAGCAGAAAGAAGAAGAAGCTACCATGGCAACCACTCGCGGGCTGAGTCCATCCTGCTTACTGTGGATGTTTTTGTTATTTCTGAGACGCCAACAACGACCATCGTCCTACTTCCACATCTAGCGTGCAGCTCAGAGGAGGAAAGGGGAAGAGACAGAAGATGTTTAGAAGTTATTTAGCGGTTCACTTTCTTGTTTGAGCAACCGGTGCATTCACAACTCGAATACACATCAATCGTGCTTGAGACCAACTCTTCAAGCGGACTTGTGGTTGGTAAGAGTACGGTATGTTTGTGTTCACACTGATCAAATGAACCAGACTTTGGGGTCAAGCGTACTCGGATCTGGGCCCGGGTTCCTAATGTGAAACCACCCTGACATTTGCATGTTTCACAAAGAATCACACAGAGTGAAAGCGTCAGTTATCAATACAGAGGTATTTTTGTTCAGCGGCCAGTCCGAGAGCGGAAGGAAAAATCTGGTATCTCATGTCCGGTGAATCAATCCAATTTGTCATCTTGTGAAGTTGCTGATATATTCCAGCTCCTGCAGGAGTCACAAAGCTGTCAGCGTTTTCTCCTTATTCAAGGTCCACTGCGATTGGTTAGCTCATACAACAGGTCCATTATAGTGTTTATGCATCGTTAGCCAAACCAGTTCTTCTCAGTTATATTTCTGTAGTTCACAATAATCCCCACAGAGAAGAGTCACAAAGAAGAAAGAGTTGACTGTATAAATAAAATCCACCAGTCTCAGTATCCTCCTCCGATTGCTAGATCACAGGCCTGGTCCAGATCTTCACCTGATGTTGAAATCTGAACCACCAGCAGCGACGGTCCATCAGAGGCGAGGAGGGTCAGTCAATGGCAGGATTTACAGGTGGAGGATGATGATGAAGAGACAGGAGAAAGGTGGGGGAGAAGGCACACGATTGATTTACGTCCTCGTCCTCAGCAGACCTGCAAACGGAGGTCAGAAGAGCATGTTACTTTTAACACCTCTATCGATTTGTTCCAACCTGTTTTCAATTACTGATTTGAAAAGACGCCTTTACTTTGCAGAAGAAAGGATGCTTTGAAGCATGGCTGAGGAGGGAAACACGGCAAAAACTAAAATCTTACCCAGAGTATTTGTCTGATTTCTAGTCAATAATATCTCATTTCACTTATCATCAGCCACATTCACCTGATGAATCTAGATTTGCATCTTATTTCAGGATATTACGAGCTAAACAAAGCCCCAAATTGCTCGTAATGAATGAACAAATATGCCAATGCACTGAGCATTGGCAAATTTTACTTTTGTTATATTAAGATCATCCCATTTCAAGACACTTGACAATTAAATTTGTTTGTTGCGTTGCCTATTTTTAAAACATGCATTACAAGCAATGCAGGCTGCACAGCGCTGTTGTCACGGCTAGAAGGTTCCCCGTCTGACAGGAGCCTGTCTGTGTGGAGTTTGCTTGTTCTCACTTGCTAACTTCAGCAACACCCGTCCCCTCACCTTCTGGTCGGGCATCATGCCGTTGGCCTGCAGTGGAGTTGGATGTCGGCTCAGCAGACCTCCACCCGGCCGGTCGTGCTCACAGAAAATGGTCCCGTTGATGTAGTGAAAACGATCTCCGGGGACCAGACGGTTCCTGCAGGTTGCACACGTAAAACACTGGAGAAAAAAACGGCGTTACAGAGTCAATCGATGGATCTGAACTCATCATAGCAGCATGATAGTGTGGTAATATACATGACATGAAACAGATATATGATTGCACTCACCTTTAGGTGGTAAACATTACCCTGCGCCCTCATCACCATCTCACTCGCAGGTATCGACTGTCCACAAGCACTGCACGCTCCGCTGTGTCCAAACAGCCTGCAAGTGAAACCACGGCAACAGACTGTCAATATAAACAACAACAACAACAACAACAACAAATCTGTCTGTATTTAAAATGATCAGCATCTGAGCCAGAAACCAGAATACCTCCTATCACAAATCTAAACTCTGAACGTATCTTTTTCAGTTTTTAGCATTTTTGGACGCTCAGGGGATATCCAGTCATCAAAGTCGGACTTGAGTTTTTTTTTGTTTCAGTAACCAAAATATCCATTCAGCTCGCCTCAGCTCCACCTCTTCCTTTGCTTGGGGCGGCTGTGGCTCAGTGGCAGAGTCGGTCTGGGGTCGGGGTTTGATCCCCAGTTTCTGTAGCAAAATGCAGTTGAGTCTGACACTAAAACCCAAGTTGCTCCCACTGCTTCATCTGCGGCGTATGAATGGGTATGAATGGGATTAATTACTTCTGATGGTCACTTTACACAGCTGCCTCTACCATCAGTGTGTGAGTGTGTAGGTGTGACCTGCGGTGTGAAAGCACTTTGAGTAGTCAGAAGACTAGAAAAGCGCAACATAAGCTCTAGCCCATTTACCATTCTCGATCAGCCAGAGATGCAGCGCTTCCAATTTATTTTATACAGTCTACATGTGGAGAAAACTTCTATTTAGCTGATGTAACAGGCTGCAAGAGAGTCTCCACATCCATCTTATAATTGAAAAGACGACCACCGTAACACCACATGAAAGACAATCAGGAGCATTTTAAAATCCACCTGAATAAACGTCTGAGTTACTGACCCGTTTATCTTAAGAATAAATGTGGAAATCTTTGGAAACACAGCCTCGCTGTGCAGTGAATCCAGATTTAGATTAATTTATCTCGTGAGAGTTGTCCTGAGAAGCCGTTCTATTATTCCTGGCTTCATACATAAAGTCTGCTGTGTTCCAGTTCTCCTCAGCAGACCTTCAGCTGTGGTTTTTCCACATCCACCTCTATGTTTGCCCCGGAGATGACGGCGCCCACAAAACCAGCGTCTGTCTTACACCGCTCCAGCTCTTAGACACTAAACAGCACACCATCTACAAATAGCACAAGCTAGCAGAAGCCAGTTTTTAACAACCATCATTATTTTCATTATTATTTCCAAACCTTTCTGTCTTTGATGACTAATACTTTGGTTCTCTCTCCTTCCTGTTTCTCCTCTGTTCTGACTCTTGCTAACTCAAATTTGCGAACTAGATTAAATTAAGTGATGTTTGCATACTAGATTTAGACCTTGAATATCACAGGTACAGTATGAGTATAGATTATGTTATATTTGACACAAGCAGAGGTGCTGCTTGTCAACAGGCAGCTGCTTGGGGCCCCAGGCCAGTAAGAGGCCCCAGAGGGCAGACAAACCTTAAACCAAAGGAGTTGCTCAAAATGTGCAAAGTCTGCAATGACAGTAGGAAACCTCCCTAAGGGGCCCCCATCTGACAGCACTTCATCTTGTGCTGCTAAGCGTTGCATGCATTACTGCTGTGGAGACTTCAGTTTGTCAATGTAAATCACAGACAACAGAAAATTTAAGTTATTAATGTTCTTTATAAAGAATTTAAAAAAAACATAGAAACTCCATACAGAGAGGCTCCTCTCCAACTTATTTAAGACACAATTGTGATGAATGCTGGTTTGGAGAGGGGGGCTGGGAATTTTAGCCTGAGGCCCACGCAGAGTTTGAAACGCCACTGGACACCGGCAGGATGAATGCTTCAGGCCAAGATGTTTTTCTTTTGAAAGGAGGTACATCAGGATAGAATTACAGTAAGTGTTTTTTTTTTAGAATTAACTTCCATAACTCTGTGTTGCTGTGTTAAAACATTTGTGCTTCTGCTTCAGTTATTTATCCCTGTAGGTTTTCTACTAGCTTCATACAGACTTCCATTTTTGATAAGTTTCATGGTAAGTTTCACATAGCAGATCTAAGGTCAGCTGACATATCTGTACAAAAGGAAACCGACCCAGAGTTCTTGTTGATGGTGAAGACCATTAAGTGTACACAAAGGAGGATGCGTATCCTCTTCCTACTGTTGAACAAAATTTAAGCCAAAATACCCCCCTGACGGGCGCTGACATTTTGTGGATTTGTAGCCAGAGTCTATATGGTTGATATCGGCGGGTGGAGCCAAAAACAACATTTAAAGGCTTAAGATGCGATTTTTTGATCCAGCAGATGTCGCCCTTGAGCACCAGCATGAAACCAAAACAACTTGCGCTGCATTGTTGTGTTAGCATGCTAATGCTAGCGATCTTTATTATGCTGGTATCTTCACACTGCATGTAAATTTACCTGAAATGAGCGTGATCTAGAAACACAGTTAAGCAGTGAGTACAGTATGTTATTCTTCTTTTCTCTAGTCCCTCTATTAAACAACTTTTATACACGAGGGGAGGAGTTGGCCAGCCGTCCTGGCGATGTAAACAAAGTGAAGATAGGACTCGGAAAACATCACAGACAGTGGGACTCGGGTGTTACACCCATTGTAGACAGTCATGACTCAGAGGATTTACTTGATTTATATATATATTTATATATAAAGCATATTAAGCTTTTAACTTACAGATAAAAAATTAAAGCTCCCTCAGGTGGATTTTCGGTTTGAAAGAGACCCTCACAGTTATGGAAAGTTCAGTGACTCTTGTGTTAGTGTTCATTACAGACGGGTCGTCTCTAGGGGAAGAAACAGCTTAACTCTGAGGGTTCGCTGAGCTCGATGAACTGAGCATGTCCCTCAAACAACCCTCTCATTAACTTTTTTTAGTGGAACATTTGAACATGCACAAGAGAACATTGCTCAGCCCTCACTGGACATAGTGATGACCACAGAGTCATCACAGCGCGGTATATCTGACCTGATGTAGTCGTTCTTGCACAGGATCATTCCTCCCTTGCTGTAGCAGGTGCTGCTGAACTCTCCCAGCGGCGCGTGGCAGCAGGAACACTTGAGACACCGCGTGTGCCAGTACCGCTCCATGGAGAAGAGCAGGAAACGATCCGCTATGCGATCTCCACAACCCGCACACGACCTGCCTGCCGTCACACCACCACCGCCCATCACCGCCAATGTGGGCGCCTCCACTCTGCTGTTCACCATGGCAACCTGAAGACACAGAGAGAGGAGAAGCAGGTGAGTTTAAGTTCCTGTAAACAACTGATCCCATCACATATCTGCACTGGAGGTATGTGTATCATTGTAGTAAGAGCATGCATGTATAATAAATAAAACTGTGTACATTTAGAATATTCATTACTGTCAAAGTAACAGATTTTAAATTGTGTTTTTACAAGAAAAAAATAATATTTTTGTGACATCATCAAGGTTACGTATGCTTGGATGTATCCACGGTATAAATCAACAAGTGGTTAAGAACATACGAGACGTTAACACGAGAAAGCAGTTTCATTACATGCACATCGACCGGGCATGACCCACAGGTCGCACTTTACCAACATCATCACCTCCACCAGCTTGCTGTTGGTGAATGTTCTGAATATTTCTCTCGTCAGCTCACTCGACGCCACGCTTAATTTTAACCAATGGGGGTTTGCAGGAAGAATTCTATCTAAGTCTGGGTGAAAAATATCTTCTGTTTGCCTCCACATGTGCAGCTCACTCTGAAAATGTCCGGAAATTTTCAGGAGTTTTGTGCAAGTGTTGAAGCAGTTTCATCTTCTTTATCTGGTGCGATATATGTTTTTACAATTTCTAAATATCACTGCCAATATTACTGTCAATAATGCCATTACTTTTGTAAAAAGCTCACTTTCTTCCTTTACTTTATGAACTTCTATCGATATCCTATTTAGGCACTGTCTCTTTGCATTGAATCAATAGACTGTAGGCTAAATAAATACTGAATCATATATAAACATGGACATACTAAGTGATGTCAACCTTGTCGTCTGAAGCAGAATGCTGAAGCCCAAACATACTGTCCCAACCTAACTAACAGTCAACTTATTAAGAGACAAAGAGGTGAAGCAGAGGAGGGCACCTGCCTGTCAGTTAGATCTGCCACGCCCCTTATTATAAATAACTCTCAGCCTTCATGAAATCAAAATGGTTGAGTTATAAAGAAAATTCACTCTTGTCAAGTGTGTGCTGATAAAGAAATGAGCTGTTCAGACCAAATTTGTATTTTGAACCAGGCTGTAAACATGTTTAATGTTCTCTGACATAAACAATTGGCTTTTTTGAATGGGTGTGTATTCGTGCTTTCACACGAGCACAAAAATCTCCTCAAGTTTTTCGAGATGAGCTGCATGTGTAAACGCAAACAGCCAAATTCTTCACTCTCCTGCCAGCCTGCTGCCTTCTTGTTTCTTTATGATCTCTTTCAAACATCACGGGAACCAACCTCAGACTTGCAGAAACTGAAAAGCTTGTGAGTACAGTTGCTATAGCTGCATCCAGAAACATGTACAGTACTTCTGCTTTCCTTGTTTTTCCATTACACTGCTCTGATTTCATGCACAGCTGGGAATGATACTGCTTTTTAGTACAACAATCGCAGAGTGTGTGCGCACACACACACACACACACACACACGCAATGACTCAGCATCGAGCCTCTTCAGACGTTTCCAAGATTTTATCATTAGCGCCAACAACAACAGAAAATAATTGCGGGTCCAGATTTCATTTTCCAAACGAGCAGCAGAATTGGTCCTCTCCGAGCGTCTCATTTCAGCACAGACATGTTTAGCTTTACGAGCGACCTTCCCACAGATTAAGTGAGCTTGCAGCAGCTGGTCTCTGCAGCGAGGCGGGCCGCCCTCAGTACCCTCACTCTGCAGAGACACCTGGCTCTAATCAGCCACAGGAACACCATGTTAAGAAGCCCAAGGCTGCTTTTAACCACAAACAGACTCCTGCAGAAGGACGAAACCTTGCTATTAGAGCTGGATTATTCATGAATGAGCTGATCTATGAATGACTGAAAGGAGGTCGACCACTTTCTTCACTTTTTAATCCTTAAAAAACCAGCCACTTCAATCCTCACGGGCTCTTTGCCAGAGTTAATCTCACCTTTTAGAAGGCTGAGATCCCTCTATAGTATTACTTATTACTTACTTACGTAAGTAATTTACTTATGGTAAACTTGAAACAACATTTGAAAAGAACTCTCAAAAGTTAAATCAACATCTTTCCGAGGGTCAGAGCCATCTCAGCTTCTTCCACGTTTTGATTGAAGAAAGAGAAGCTTTGGTTCCACTTCTATTAAAGTTTATGGATGCACATTATAACTCCTCCTTATATAAAGACAAATATTTTATTTGAATTTCACTAAAACGTTTAACTTCAGGGTAGAAAACCTTTTACATGATGCTAGCTGATAATTTCAATGTGATGTTTTGATGTTTGAACGTTCTTTTCCCCTGATCTTGACTTTGTCCAGCAGGTGCAATTTACTCAACTCTATCTTAAAGGGATACTTCACCCGTTGAAACATGAATCTGTATTGACGTTGGGTCATATATGTAGTAGAAAAGGGAAATACATTTTGAAGTTGGTGCCTTCTTGGCCGAGAAAAGGCAGAAGTGTCTTTTTGGCTCATGTGGATGAAAGACACCAAATCCCAGAATGCACAGCACGACAGGTTTACAGACATATTTATTTCAACACATAAGGCCGTTTCCTCAACTGATTCCGAGATTTCTTCCAGAAGGAATTAGCATCTTGGAAATTCCTGTCAGAAAACAGACTCTATGTCTGTGTCCAAACAGTGAGAGCACAGACACTACCAGTCCGCCCCAGCTCCTCGTTTTCATCGCCGCCGACAGGCAGGCCTTATGTCTCGCGTTGTCACTAGCGTTGTAGTTTCACCCTGCTAACCGCAACAGCTTCCGATGAAGCAAATATCGTCATCCTTTTCAGAGTTAGAAATACAAAGATTTCCCATCTCAGGGGAAAATGAGGGCAGGATGCACGACCATTCAAAAATACTACCAGGTTTCAAAGCTGTGTGAGCGACACACACTGTTCGGGGGGTGACGTTTTTGACAACTCATCCGCTTTGATTTGATGAAGGATAAGAGTTTTTCACAATAAGGCGTGTAGCTGACCTGATTGACAGGTGGGTGCGGTGTAACAGTTTGTCAAGAGGCTTAAAACCCGCCTCAGCTCCAGCTCTCAGCCTGTTGTTAGGTTGACTGAAAGTTAGACTGAAACAGCATTTCCAGCATGGAGACCGCCATCGATGGGACTCCAGCGCCCCCTGCAGGAACAGACGGGTGACGTCACTCAGGCTTTGACCATTAACACTTACAGTCTATGGGTGGACGTTTATATCTGTAAATTGCCCAATGCTACTGGAAAAAATACATTTCCCATGATCTTTAAAAATTTCCTAATGCCAGAGCTGTGACATCATTGTGTGGGCGCAGGAACAGAACACAGCCAGAAACCTGCAGAATGAATCCAACGTCTACAAGGATTCATTCAGATTCTTGAATTTATCACAAAGATATTTGCACTGTGACTTCTACATTTGAATCAATGAATGTAACGGGTTGTTTTGTAACATGACTATACATTCATACAGAGTACACTGGATGTCTGATGTCACTCTGCGCCTCTGTGGACTCTGGCTGTTTTCCCTGAATCTACTCTCTGTCCTCCGTGCCAGATTCCTCTGAGCGGCACATCACCAGCCGTGAAATCAATTAGCGCGCCGAGCGTGCAGAATACAACCTCGTCCAACACTGTGGGATGTAGCTGGAGCAAACAGCGACATGAGGACTTCTGCTTCCTCTCTCTCTCTGCTCTTTTTTTATCATTTATCCCTAATATCGGCGGTTTAAGGAATCCTTAAATCTCTCAGAGTATGGTGGAACCTCAAGCATTTCCTCAACTTCAATATTCTGTTCCACATGTGAAACTAATTGCAGAAATGCAGCCAAAGTAATCATCCTGCAGACACCTGTGATAATTCGAGACGTTTCCTCACATCTGCCAAACACAACTCTGATTTCTTATCCAATTAAAATGTAAATCCTGCATTTAATTATCCTCTGCAAAGCAAAGACTTGATTTGGTTCCCCTCTTAGACGTGGAGTCAGATTGGAAAGTCTCAAAAACAAGTTGTTCAGAGTTAAATTACAGAGGTGTGTACAATTAGAGAGAACACAAGTACATGGCTAAATTTATGATCTGACTCAAAACTTTAACTTTTCTATGCGGCTCAGAAACCTGCTGATTCCAACAACCCTACACTATGAAAATGACCTGAAGGAATATTGATCTGTAATATATAATAGCGAGAGTTTTACATATTTTTGCAGGCAAAAGCTAAGGCAACGTCTTCAGTGTCATCAGGTAGTATAGCTGATGATGATAGCATCGGGCAGTATTATTGTTCGCTGCAAAAGATCAGGGTGTTGATCATGAAAAGGAGCAGGTCGTTTGCACCTCTGCTTGCTCACAAAATGATACAAAACACTTTATTAAACCTGTATGCGTGTATCAAACTTCTCTGTCATCCAATGTGCAGAAACATAATCACAGCACAATAAAATACACAAAAACACCTGAATGTGGTCTAAAGCAGTGGTTCTCAACTCGTCTAGCGCCAGGACCCACCAACAACTCCTCCGTGAAAAATCGGAACCCAAATGTTTTGACATTTTTTGACCAATCCGATTTATTTATTGAATTGCAGTTTGGACCTCAGTCAATACAAATCAGGTACAAATGTGGCAGAAGCAACAAGCTGAACAAAACGACTAAGGTTTAAAAAGTGCTTCACAGAAGTTTTTTTCCAGGCACACAGTTGCGACCCACTGAAAATGGCTCCGCGACCCACCTCTGGGTCCCAACCCACCAGTTGAGAACCACTGGTCTAAAGTCAATGCTGCAACGCAGTAGAAAAATGAATTCATGATCGAAAACAAATTAATTTGAGCTTAAAGCTGAATGTGTTTCGGATGTCTCGGGTAGTCAGAGTTCTGTGAAGTCTAAGTGGGGTCACTCAAGACCCACAAAAGGTTTGGGGACCACCGGGCTAATCCCCATGTTCACTCTTGTTTAGCAACCCTCCACACACAGAACAACGTGCTGGTGAATCATCACCCTGCTTTGAACCAGTTAAACTGACTGATGCAGCAGTCGATAAAAAACAGGAGCTAATGAAGAGAGACAGCGCTCACTGCAGTCGGGACACACTGATGAATTACAGGCTGTTTCTGCTCGACAGAACCATTAACGTCTCGTTTTACCCCACGCTGAACACAGCTGACTGATGCCTCTGACAACATCAGCTCTCACACGGGGCTAACTATGAGCTCCATGAGACGAGTTCAACTCCTAAACTTTTTCTGCTGGGCGACCGATGAACATATTTCAAGACCCCAACCACTGACCCTACACATCAACACATCAACATACATTGATGTACACTAATCACACTGTCAGTCATCCTCTCTGCTAACAAATCCTCTATATTTATTTAATTAAATTTAACATTGTCTGCAAAGAAACGGGAAGAAAGGGAACTTCAGTGTGACAACAAACTGAAAACACTAATGAGCAGCTTTTTTTACAGAGGAAGCAATTAAAAGTGAAACTGCAACGTGATTTTTTTTTTTTTAACAACAGTCAAAAGGTTTAAACAGATTTTTTTTTTTAAAACTGAGTCCCTGAGGATGAACAACTCCCTAAAAACAAAATATGATGATAATCTTCTTGTCAGATATTCTTCCAGTCCTGCGATGGTTATAATAAGTAGTGTGGGCGACGTGTTTCATGCTACAGATCCTCTCCGTCTTGGTTCAGCTGTGAGACACTCTCAGGTCAATGTTCAGATTCGATCTGTGTTTTGTTTTGATTGAAGCGACTGCAGAGTGTAGCTGTCATGACCCACTGATGTACAAGTGAAGCTGAGGGCGAGACACGACTCGTCATGATGTCTTCTCTTTGTTATAGTATGTTGTGTTACGTCTGCTGCAGATTCAATGTCAGCCTGACGTTTACCTGGAAGTCACTAAATTTGCTGTGCTTTGCGAGCAGTGCAAAATAGTGTGCACTGATTTAATTTGCCTTGCCCCCCCCCCTCCACCATCATCACTTCATGCTTACTCAAAGCAAGTCACAAACTTTTGATACTTCCAAGTCCATCGGGTTTGTTCTAAAATTAGCAAACTAACAATTGTGTGCTCCAAAAAAAGTTTTATTGAAAACACATTCTCAAGATGGACCTTCTCATTTCTTCTGGACGATTCAAGACGATGATCTCGAACCACTCCACCTCAGAGTGCAGACGTTGCCCTTTAGATGTCCTCTTTTCATTTGTTTTGAGTTTGCATTTCTCTATATGTAGGAGTTTTGTAAATGAGGGGAACTACAACAATTTTCTCTGCTTAGATGGAAGCTTGAATGAGGAAAACATCACGGAACATAAATGCCCATGACTTCCTCTGGGCTGAGGTCAAATATCTATTTTAAATGTACCTGGATGGTTTCTTTAAATGACTCTGATGTATAAATAACTGAGCTTTAAAACTCATTTAAAGGCTTCATTCTATGAGTCCAGTCCGCCGTCAGACACAGCTCTGCTGTTTTCCCTAAATTGAGGAAGACATCTTAATTTACAGCCGGTTAGATGTGGAGCAGTTGAAATTTGGGCATTGGGCCATTTTCCATTTTCCAGAAGTGATTACCTCCTTCCCTCTTTCATACACTAATTAAATCATGAATCCTCCACACAGACACACAAACATGCACACACACACACACTCTCCTTCAGAGGGATAATTAACAAATAACCTCAGCTCAGTCATGTCTGAGGGGAGTGACTAACTAAGTAAGCATGACCGCTGGCAGCAGAGACACCAGAGTCCAGGACCACAGAGAGGGGACTGGTCAGACTGGGACGGCACAGATTTCCACCTCTGCACAAAGACACACTGTTTCCCTTGTTTAATTAACACCAATGACACCAGCTCCTGTGGCAGACGGATCATTTGCAAAAGCAGACTACACTCACATTTGTCATGACCTTTCAGTGCTGTAGATGCACGCAGAGCAAAATGATTCAATCACAACAAGAAAAAAAAAACTGCTCTTGTGATTTGATTCAGGAAAAGCTGGAATGATAATTTTTTGTAAGAAAGTTTTTTTTGTATGTAGGTTAAATTAAATTCAAATAATGATGATGATGATGTGACATTTGTTATGGTCTGTGACTGAGCTGGACAGTGCTCTAACTCCTCGGAGGCAGAGGCGCTGCTTGTCAACAGGTAAGGCAGGCAACAGCTTGACCCAGACCCGTAGGGGTGACAAACTCTGAACCGAAGCAGCGGCCGAAAATTTGCAAATTTTGCAATGACGGTCGGAAACCTCCTTAAGGGGGCCCAATCTGACAGCACTCATTCACGTTGCCCTGCTAAACGTTGCATGCATTATTCCTGTGAAAACCAAAGTTTGTCAATAAAGAAAAATGAAGGCGAATTATCCGTATATAGGAGAGAAAAAAAAAAAGAAAAGAAAAAGGAAGAGGAGTAAGCGTCGGGACACTGGCAGTAGAGGTGGGCAAAAACATTTATTTATGTAAAAATCGAGGGTCATAACTTCACAAAATTGTTTTTTTGGGGCTAATCATCCTGAAGTATGTATCAATTCAAAAATATACTTTGAATCATGAATCCAGAATCGTCTTGAATCGAAAATAGATTCTCAATCGAATCTTGACCCTAAGAATGGAAATCTTGAGACGCCCAAAGATTCCAACCCAAACAGGCAGGCGTAGTGATGAACGCTGGTTGGAGGACCCCCCCCCCCCCAATTAATTTTTGCCTAGGGCCCCAACAGACTCTAGAATGGCCCCTGCTCAGAGGACAAACTTTAAGCAATACTGCTGACGTTACAAAATAAAGAAAAAGAACAACAGATAGACAAAGTGATGAACTTCAACCCCAGTGCACGGCACATTAAATTAACGGGTTCAGATGTTGATATGACCAAAATATATATATATTTAAATCATTTTGTCAGATATTCTGATTACATAAGTTTCCATAGAGGCGAGGATGATTTGTGCATCACGTGTCCTCCCCCCTCAATAAACAAAACATTAAAAACACGATGATAGACATTTGTTTTGAAGCTCTGCAGATCTGTAGTAATCATCATTAAACTGTTTCCTGGCACATTTGACCTCTTAAGAGAGTGTAGCTCCTGCATATTAAAACTACAGAGATTCAGACTGTAAGATTCATTGTGCAGCTCTTAGGAAAAGGTTGCCCGTGGTAGCAACTGTAAATGTTTGGTCGGTCAAATACTCCAAAAAACACAAAACAAAACCCCAACTATATCCAGTTTGCAATGAATACAATGAAATGATGAGCAACAGAAATCAGCAAATCTTCATTTAGGACAAGTTGCAATCAGGTTATAAAAACATTTTTTTTAATGTAACGCTCTCGTGACCTACTTATAATAAATATGCAGTTTAATTATTATAACATCCATTAGAATAGTTTTGCAATGATTTGATTATGACGTTATTATGACCATTGTTGTTGTTTTAAACGTGTTGTTACAATCCTAACTCTTTCAATAAGATGAAATAAACTGAATATTACAGCTTCAATGTTTTCATCAAAACTGAGGATAAAACGTAAATAAACATCTGGGCGGCAGGATGACAGACCTGTCAGGAGTGACGTGTTAGAGACAGGTACCGGACTCACCTTCCTGCTGTGGACTTGAGGTCTGGTTGGAGGACTAGTTTATGAATCCGCGGAGTCTCACAGCTCCTCGCCCGTGCAGCTGAAGTTCAAACGGGATCCAGACTCGAAGCAGCAGAAAGATCCGAAAAACTTTTCAGATTCAGTGTTTTTCTCCACAGTCCGCTCCTCGTCCGTCTGCGTGGATCAGCTTGAACACTTGAACCCGTCCTCTCTTCTCCCATTCAGGAGGCTTTTAGAGCGGGACACAGACTAACAGTCCGGGATCGGTTTAGGTTTCTGCTCTTGTTCAGCAGAGCTCTCAGACAACAGAGTGAGATGTGTTCACAGTCACTTCAACGTTTTAATAACTCACTCCTCCACTGACGTAGAAAGGGGGCGTGGCCTTCGCGTCCTGTCAGGATAATGGATGACTGCTATTTTGTTCACAATCAGCCTCATTATAGAATTTCTTTCTCTGAACAAATATTATCACATGTGCTCGAAGACGTAATTCCATGCTTGGAGGAAAACAGCCATTCTTCTCTATGGTGGCCCTGAAGGACCACTACACAAACATGTAGGCTAGTTGAACCCCAAATTTGGTGGAATGCAAAAAAAATCATAAAACACAAAAACATTTTGTCAAATGCAAAAACGTTTCTCTATAGGCACAGACATTTCTGCTCACTCAGGTCACCATGTTGTGGACACTGAAGCTTCAGTGTTTATCCAGCTCTGCATGGGTCTGTAAACCTTTCTGTGTTCTAACCTCTCTCCATTTTTCAAAATCATCTCCAATATTGATCCTAGTTTGAGCACGTTTCTGCTCATTGATGTTGTCTTTATTTTGTTGCTCCCAAGTGGCCTAAAAAATACAAAATAAATAAATCTGGTTTCAGGAAAAAACTCAAAGCATGTACATCATCATCATAAAGACTTTCTAATGTTTTGTTTCCAGTACTCTGTAGGACCACAATGAATAGAAAAATCACTTTATCGTCAATATGAAGTTTAATGTGAGCTTAAATAGAAATATTTTCAAGTCAAAGTTTTCATAAGCCACCCCATGCACATCTTAAAAACACACATTTAAGGTTGCAGGTTTTTAGACTTTTTAATACTAAAGCTGATGTCAGGGGAAACAGTTATAACCACATTGTCTGTTCCCCGTCATCGCCTTTAATTATGTGGTTATTTATAGTCGCTGTGTGTTCCTCTGGTGGTCTAACTCTTCACACCAGCTGAGGTCACGTTACACTGCTCAGTGATCCACAGTCCCACAGCTTGTCATGTTGATCGTCTTATTTACGAGAAGAGGAAGAACACAGCTCATGTGAATCTACTCAACTGTCCTCTTTGCCACAAAACCAACCAGCAGAAGTGACCAAACAGCATTAAAATGTGGTGTGACTTAAAACCACATCCAAACACGTGAAAACATGTGAGTCATGTTTGCTTGAAAGGGTGGATGTATTACATTTCTGCTTCATTTGTCATGTCACTAAATAAGAGAGAAAATGGGATTGTAATCATTTCCAGATGTTTGCATGTTGTATTTTTTTTCACTGGAAAAGTTTTTGTAGAGAGTGACCTCTGCTGGACAAACTGTGAAGATGCAAGCGCTAAAGAATTTACTTTAATGCTTTACCAATTACTGAAATGTAGTTTTTATGGAGGATAAAAAAATACAGAATCAAAGAAATTACATATTTATTTACATTTTGAACTCAGAGGTTCAAAGTACTCTTGCAAAACAATGAGCAATAAGAGACTATTATACAGAAGATCTGGAGTATATAATAAAAAGCAATCAAGTCTTAGAAATGTAGAAACTATTTTGCAGTTTGATCGCTGAAAATGTTTATTTTGGAACTAAAGGTAGAATTTGATGCTTATGCTTTTTTTTTTTAAATGTTTCGAGGGCCCTTCATTTTATTGTTTGTGTTTCTTGATTTTAATAACTCAAAATACAAAAAAGAGAGAAAGGTCTGCACACTTTTCAGATCCCAATTAGCAACTTCATGAAGGGCAAAGTTTAGATCCCACGTTGCCCTTCTTAAAGTTGCTCATTGGGAGCTGAACAGTGTGCAGACCTTTCTTTGTCCTGAACCTGTATGCAATTTGCTTGGATGTGCGCACACTGGTCCTTTTTTTCCTTTTTCTTTATTACTCAAAATAGAAAATCCTTCACACATCTTTTTTCATAAGACAGGTGCATGGTAATAATATGTCCATCAATGTGTTGCGATGATGATCTAGTACAGAAACATTGCCACTAAATGTTTGTGTACGGAAGTTTGCCTGTCATAAATAACCAAAAGATCTGAAAACGTCTTCCACCGCTGTAAATATCAGAATCTTTTTTTTATTTTTTATCTGTAGCATCAATTTATAACGTTTCCTTGTTTTAAAACACTGGACTTCTTTTTACAGTATGCACTCATACCAGACGGACATATTCCGGTCACGCAGCTCACACTTCTGCCTGCAGGGGGCGACGTTCGTTTTGTTGTAATCCGCGCAGAACGTGCAGAAGAAGACAAACTGGAGTTACTGGATTTGTTATGATATCGTTTAGTAGGGGGAGATGAATCACCTGGATGTGACTCTTAATTGATATGTCATCATCTTAATAGAAAGGTAACCTGAAATATAAACCTACTTTTACCTTTTTCTTCCTGCCTTTGACGTCATAACGGACTAATGTTCAACGTTAGCAAACCGAGGAAGTGACCGTTCATTTATTCCGTGACGAGAGGAGTGAAAACACACAAACAAGCAGCCTGTGAGTATTAAATATAATATAATGTGTTGTTATGACGCTATGACGAGACGTCCTATGGTTGAGGTCACATGTTAGCTTCTGTTTTGCTGTTAAGTTGTAAAGCTAAGCGACATTTAGAGGTTAGCTAACACTACGAACAGCGAGCTAATATTCATATCTCTGTTATTAAAATGTAGCTTGGAGCGGTTGTTTTAAAATACAATGTGTAGCTGTCCAGTTTTAATGATAGCTATGTAGACTATGTAACATTAGTGAAGTGATTTACGGTCAAACACCCCGCCCACATTCTCCCCGACAGGACCCCTGAAGCTCACCATGATAACAAGCATTCAAACATCTGAAGAGGGGAATAAATAAAGTGGTTCAGTCAAGTCTGGGGAAAAAGACTGAAGACTTCTGGCTATAAAATTCAGATCAAAGATGAATGAATTGCTAACACAAGAAACATGACATTTACAGAATAAACAGAACAGCAGCCATGATGTAAAATAATAATACATGTGTTGTTAAATCCTTCAGCCCATCTGTAATACAAAACCAAATACAAGTAGTACATGACGTTTACACATGTTACACGTTTTACAAAGAGCTAAACAGAAAACATGCTCACTGAGGTGTCAAACAAAGACGAAATATGAAAAATAAAACATTGACTGGTTTTAAAATCCCCACATTGACTGAACGCCTGCCAGAGCCTGACCCAAATATTAGCGGGCCAACACCATCGACCGATGTGTGCTCACAAAAATCAGTATCTCTGTATGATTTATTTTCTGACCTATGTGATGAAACTGTTTTAAACAAACACGATGCTTGGGTTGTTTCGAAACGGGCACGGGAAACCTTTCTGGAATGAGTTTATGTAGAGCTGGCACAAAATCAATCTCTTCCCTGGGAGCTCTAATGGAGGTCTGCTTCTGCTTTTTCATGTCACGTTTATACGCAGACTCTACTTCAATGAAGAAACCTACACAATGTGGTGGAAAGAGGAAAGCCTGTCAAAACTCTGCTGTCTTGTCTCATGATCAGTTTAGTTAGTATTGTGCCCTGAATGCTCCTTAAGTACTCAGTCATTACAGTATATGGCATTTGCAGCATTAAAGAGGCCGTCTGCTAGAGATCATGTTAGTTTTTATGAAGGTAGTAGAGTTTTTGTTTATTTCAGGCAAAATTTCTCGCCTCCACGGTGACACACTTTATGTCACCTGACAAACATCAATACGAGTTCATTCTATTTCAATCAATAAATCTTATTTGTATAGAGCCAATTCACAACAAGTGTTATCTCAAAACGCTTTAGCAGGTTAAAGTAAGAAAAACAAGATAGGATGCAGGAAGGATTTCTCCTTTGTATTCCTTGCGTTCCTGTTGTCCACACTTCCAAACTTACGGTTTAATTTGAGCTTTCCACGCTGAGTGTTAGTGTGACGTGAGAGGTGGTGGAGGTCGGAGAAGGCCGTGCATGAATGCGGACGGCAGTGGTTCTGGGGACGACACAGTCCGATGGTGGTGGCTGGGTGTCGGGGACGTGGGGTGGTAGTAGTGCCAGATCACCTCGCTGAAGGTTGAATGTGTGCAACCAACTGTTTCTGAGTTAAATCATTGTTTTTTTTTGTACAACAAACTGCAGGAATAGATATTTCTATATTAGAAATGTCTCAAAGGACCATGTGTGTTGGAATAAAAAAGGTGCCACTGTTAGGATCAATTCTTGATTCCAGCGTATAACCAGACTATACATCTTCCCACAGCTCTTCAGAGATGTTTTAGCCTGTAGCATCCAGATGAGGCTTTTAATCAGCTGAAAAAAACATGTCAACAATCAACCAGCATCAAAATAGCAGACAAACACACAAAGATAGAGACTAGTTAGTAAACAGTGGAGCAGAAACAGGACTCACACTGAATGCTAATGCGGCTGTTCATTTTCTGAACGTGTTTTTTCTGAATTTTCTAAACATGATATCTTTTTGTTCCTAGCTTGTAAAATTGATAAACCAATTTGCCCTAAATGTGCATTATTTCTCCATTTTAACCTCCTTTTCTTCTTTCTTAGTTTCCAGTGTGCAGGCAGTTGTTGTCCATCAGCCCGCTGGAGAAGATCGAGTTAAAGAGGGGGGCAGAGGAGGGAAACACAGCAGGCAGAGAGACAGCAGGAGGATTCACCATGCCTCTGTTCTTCAGAAAGAGGAAGCCCAGCGAGGACTCCCAGAAGAGGCTGGAGTATCAGCTGTGCCGGGTAAGAAGAGCGTGTTTATGTCACCATGCTGCTGGGTCAGCGACCTGTATGACATCACTGAGACAACACAGAGCCATGTTTTTGGAATAACAAGACAGTTTTTAAATATCATTATCCCTCGCCTGTGGAAGTATTCTCTCTGCTAACATAACAAAGACTTTTCTTTGTACTCTAGTCGAAGGAAGCTGGTGCTGATGACAACCTGGACATCTCAGCGTGTGAGCTCTCGGAGGTGAGATGTTCCTGTCAGCAGGCCTCACTGATGAACAGTTGTGACAGAGAGTCTAATCATTTAACGCCCAATGTTTCTGGTTTGAAGCTCTCATTGTGTTTTTAGATGCTTCCTTCTTTCTTATTGTGCAGACACTTTGCTTAAAATCCACGTTTCTCCTGCAAAACTCTGTGGACAAATGATCTTTGACACACTGGGATTTCAATTCATGAAAGACAAAGAACTGCAAACTCCCCTTTTAATGTCTATCTTTATATGATCCATGTTAGCACTTCAGATAATATAATGTATGACCTGTTCTTCTGCAGGTTCCCTCGAGTATCTTTTCCATTTGCAAAGTGCTGCAGAAGAAGGTAAGAATAAAACATGGTGACGATGGCCATGAAGAACAGAGGGATTTCTTTATGATGTGTATTTGAATATGTGGCAGCTATTATTGTCTCGAGGAGTAGTCAGATTTCTCTCATGTTGAAAAGTGAAAGTTTACAGATTTTCTTATTCTATTTATGTTACTGTACAAAAACAACTACCCTTCGTTTTGTGTGTGTGTGTGTGTGTGTGTGTGTGTGTGTGTGTGTGTGTGTGTGTGTGTGTGTGTGTGTGTGTGTGTGTGTGTGTGTGTGTGTGTGTGTGTGTGTGTGTGTGTGTGTGTGTGTGTGTGTGTGTGTGTGTGTGTGTGTGTGTGTGGGGTCATTTATCACATCTCCTCTGTTGCTCTCCTTCAGGTCCTGATCCTTCATAACAACGAGCTGAGGTCATTAGTGCCCAAAGGATGTGACATCAGCAATCTGTACACTTTAAAGGTAATAAAAAATGGATTACAATTTAGTTATTTATGAAGCTCGACAACACATGTTGGACTCAGTTAGAGCTCCGAAAGCACAAAATATAGACACAGAACAAGTTTCAACTGTGTGTATCCAATATTTTACGTCAACTCACTTTAGAAAAATCGATATTCCTCTCTTTTGGACGTGTATTATATTCCTCATGCAAGCCGAGTTCAGTTTGTGATAGAACCACTTCTGGCTCGAGTTGAATTTGTTATTTTGGAGGATGGTGGCCTCACAGTCACGCCGGGGTATTTTGTAAAACATTTGAGCCTCGAGCCTAAAAGCTTTAACTGTTTTTTAATTCAGACTGATCATGTGTTAGTCTGATTGTTTGCTTCTGAACCTTTCGTTTCATGTCAAACTCTTAGCAAGCATCGCACCTGGAGATGTAGAATTTACAGTGTTTGCCTAAATGGACAAAAAACCCTGATCTAATATCTCTTAGAAACTTGAATGTCTGACTGAATGTTTCTGCTTTAAAAGGTTTTAGACCTGCATGACAACAAGATCACTTCACTGCCTGATAACATCGGGAAGCTGGCGTCACTGCAGGTAACACCATATTAACCCTGACTCCTGGTACAAAGGAAATCGTGTGTGAATGAAACTGAAATAATCAATTTTTGTCTGTTTTTATTTTTCTGTCCTGTCAGATCCTAAATGTGGAAAAGAACCGTTTAAAGTCTCTGCCGGACTCTATTGCTGATCTGCGGCTTCTGCAGACTCTAAATCTAAAAGGTACGCTGTTCCCTACTTCCTGCTTCCTGCTTACTTTCCAGAACCTGAACAAGACAATAAACATAAGTTATGTGTTTATCTGTGCAGGTAACAGTCTCAGTGAGCTGACAGCTTCAGTTGGTTCTTTGAGCAGCCTGAGGACTCTAGACGTGAGCGACAACAACATCACCCAGCTGCCCAAAGCTGTCGCTTACATCAGAACGCTGGAGGTGTGTCTCTGGAGGCAGACGTACAGGAATAAAACGAGGGTAGAAAATGTGATATGAGCTTACATTCTCTCTGTGTGTGTGTGTGTGTGTGTGTGTGTGTGTGTGTGTGTGTGTGTGTGTGTGTGTGTGTGTGTGTGTGTGTGTGTGTGTGTGTGTGTGTGTGTGTGTGTGTGTGTGTGTGTGTGTGTGTGTGTGTGTGTGTGTGTGTGTGTGTGTGTGTGTGTGTGTTCACAGAGCTTTACCCTGGATGCTGCCATGATGTCATATCCACCTGCATCTGTGTGCTCAGAAGGAACAGAGAGTATCCAACGCTTTCTCTGCGACGGTGAGGGTTTAATTTATGCAACAACAAGACACACACACACACACACACACACACACACACAAGCAATCATTTCCAACTACTTTCACCCCTGCTCATATGTAACTGCCACTTATCTGTTGTTATCCTGAGCACTTTCTACGTTGAAGGGTGTTCATGTGTCCTTACATCAGACTTTAAAAGACAACAGTGTGTGACTTAATGGTTGATGATGGTTTTCAGAACTGGGAGAAGAGTACTGCCCCCCGTCCCAGTACCTCCTCCCTGTCCTGGAGAGTGACTGTGGCAAACAGAACTCTGACTGTGTGGATGGTCTGGAGGAGGCCTGGCAGGTACACTCACACTGACACTCACATCACCACACTGACCTGATTTCTGCTTTAACTCTGATGACTGTTGGTGAAAACAGAAAATGAATGAACTCTCTTCACATTCTCTGTTGCAGAACAAATTCAGTGACTACGAGAAGAGAAAGGTGAGTGATGTCAGAAACACATGGCTGTTAGATTCAGTCAGTCTCATGTTGGATGTTGGAATGAATTCTGAAGACCCAAACTAAAATGATTAGACACTAGACCGCCTGTTGTTCTACTAGTGGTAGTGTTTGAAACTGCAGATAAGATGTGAAGCCCTGAAGAGAGTTGGAGTCATTTAAAGACCTGAAGCAAAGCTGAGAAGTTGCTTCAGTGTGAAGATAATAATGGTGACTTTTCTCTTTGTCTTTCAGGAGGAGAAGAAACAGGAGAAAATCGCCTTCGAGCGTCACCTGGAGGAGAAGCAGAAGGAGCACACACAGCTTCTTCTCATGAACACATCACGCAAGGAAAACATGCTCAACTCAGTGCGACAGGTACGCAAAACTTTCACCTGCTGGATACACAGGATTTGTATCCATTCTTTGACAAAGCCTTGTGTCCTCAGTAATCCCTGTTGCTCGTTCTCTGAGCTTATTTTGTCATATAAACATTGAGCTTAATAGAGATCTAAGGCCCCTTTAACAAAGTGAGAAGTTTAGTTTTAAGATCTTTCTAAAGCAGGCGATTGGGCAGCAACAACAACAGAAGATGTTTGATTTGAAAGCAGTTCCTTTGTTTGTCCTGTATTGATGTGTGTGTGTGTGTGCTCTGTGTGCCGTGTAGGAGCAGGAGCGTGTGGAGCTGGGCGTTTCTCAGCAGCAGAGGGCTCAGGACGCCGAGAGGCTGCTGGTGCTGGAGAGAATCCGATACGCTGAAGACAACATCAGCGGCCGCATCAGCAACATGCTGATGGACAAAAACAGGTGGGCTATATTATCATTGGACTGTGTGTTTTGTTGGTGTCTTTTGTGTCACTCAATCAGCGCTTAATGAGCACATCGTCTACACGTACAACTCTCTGACAAAGAGTGTTACTACTTTGATCTCTGCAGGCAGAAAAAGAGTGCAGAGTTTCTTCAGGCCATGGAGGAGGATCGGTGAGTGCACTGACTACTGATACATAATATCCAGATCTATTACAGCCACACAGAGCAGCACTCTTCCAATCGTCTCCCACTTAGGAGGCAGATCTTATTTATAGAACAATGTCTATGTCAGATGCACAAAGTACTTTTCAGTCAGACATCTTTTCTCCTCGGTCATGGGACACATATTCAATTCAAACCTTGATTTATTCTCACAAGGACATGACGTTACCCTCATTCCAAATGTTGTGGAGAATAGAAGCACATTAAAACAAGCAAACAGAACACAAACATATAAACATATAACTAGCCACAAAAACAATAGAATAAAAATAGAAATCAAGTAAATCCTATTGAAAGACTGCCAAAGGAGGGCCTGCAACTTTACTTTTCCAGCTCCATCTTCAGTTCAAATTTAAAAATGTTTCCAAATCGTATAAATAATAACTTAAACCATCACCCTCAGCTTTTCTTTGTGTTAACTGCAAATGAGAAGTTCATGTTAAAGCCATGAACTGAAAAGGTAAACATAAAGTCTGAAGTGTTCATATCTTTATTCTGTTCTCCTGGGACACTTAAATTACTCGCAGATCAATAACAAGAAGTAAATGTAAAAAAATGCTAACCTGGATTTGCAATCATTTTGTAACATTTGGATGATCCTGATACGGCAGAGAAGTTAATGGACTTTTAAGCTTCTTTCTAATCATCTGAACCCTCCAATCACTTTAAAATACTTATTATGCAGGATGAAGCTGGGTGAACCTGAGGAAGCTTCAGCTGAATTAGTTGTTCTCTCACAGAAAAGTCATAGTACACTCACTTTCAGTGTGCAGCAAATCATTTCATGGGGATAGAATTTAACTCAGTGATGCTCAAAAAAGCTTCTTCTCTTGGGATTGAAGACTCTGAATGACTGGATATGAAGTCACTGTGGGCGGATAAAAACTGTTTTTGCTTCCCTCAGGATTCGTATGGAGCATCTGACTGCCATCACTCAGGAGGAGACTAATTCACTGAGGAAGAGGGAGGTGGCAGGTATGTAGCTTTGTTCATGTGCTTTACCTTTACATTTTTCTGTAATTCCATTATAGCCCTGCCAGCCACAAATCTTTATACTTGATTAGGCTTAGACTTGTTTATTTAAGCTGGGAAACACTTACATTTCTTTGACTGGTGTCAGAACAAAACTCCAGTTTTAACTTTATAAATGTACAGAGCTCTTTTCTGTGTAAATTGAAGGTCCACAGAGGTTCAACACAGTGAGTTTTGGGGAGCTTTCTCCACCCTCAGGACCAAAATGCCTTGAATACAATAAATCTCATACACTTCTAGTCCTAGAGTGTCAGAGTACTAGAGTTCATGTTCTGATCTCTGTTACAGTAAAGACAGTTCATTCAACATTTGGGTTGATCTGTGCTCGGTCTGTGCAGCTCTTTTCTTTTTGTTTCAACCTCCCCCTCTTCTCTCTCTCACTCTCTCTCTCTCTCTCTCTCTCATGTTCTTAGCGGCCATGCAGAAGATGCTGTCAGACAGCTGTGCCATGAGTCTTTTTCAGGAGGCTAGCGACTTCCGCAGAAAGAGCTTGGTGAATGAGGCCTACAGGAGGTTAGACACACACGCATGCACGCACACACACACACACACACACACACACACACACACACACACACACACACACACACACACACACACACACACACACACACACACACACACACACACACACACACACACACACACACACACATACAGCAGATATAAGCCTGCTGGATGTCAGCATTGCAAACTGGTCAGCTACATGTTTTAGACTCTGCGTCTAGTTTCTCCTCTTCTGTGTTGAAACAGTATGGAGAGTTTGGACCGGAAGTTTGACAAGATGCTGTCCCTTCAAGTTTTGGACAAATCCAAGGCCATCGCCCAGATCTTACAGGAGGTACGTAAAGCCGGGGTTCGTTTCCTGTGGTTGTTATCTGTATCATGAGAGCATGGTGGACTATGAGCTGTCGTGTTTGTTGTTCTCTGTAGGAAGAGATGCAGAAAGCTGCCTTCCAGGCTCTGCAGCTGCAGAAAGACGCTGTACACGGATACATCCGCAACCAGGTCTGTGTGGAGGGTTGGAAATGGGTCTAGGGAGGGTCAGATCTGTCACTGGTCTCTGGTTTTTTAATGGTAGTGATCCAGTAGGGGAAAGTTCTGCAGAAGAAGATGTAGACTCCTGTTTCTGTTTAGTCTGACAAAAGCTGGAAAACCTCAACAAACACTCAAAGTACATATTCTTCTTCCTACTTTTATGGGACAGGGATTAGTAAATCAAGTAGAAGAAATGCATACTGTCTTATAGAAATATGTTCAGTTCTGGCTACAAAAACCTAAGATGGTCATTGTAAAAAAGGTTGAACTTAGCACACTGTATAAAGTCTATGATTTCGGGTCTGGTTTTTGCTTTTTCTCTGGCTCTTAAAAGTGACAAAGTTCTGCAGGTAAAGACGAGTATAAAACCTGCACAGACTAAGAATAAAGTCCGTTCTTTTTGTTCTGATATTCTGTGTCTTTCAGCTGCATCCAGCCATAACTAATTCATCTTCACTCACATTTGCTAAATATGTTTTATACTTTTGGTTAGCTGTTGGGTGAAACAGTTCCCACGGACAGAAAATCATTTCATCTACATTTTCATCCTGACTCCCTGCTCGCTTCATGTTTGCCTCTCCACTGTCCCCAGATCAAACTCATAGAGAGTGAGTTAATGCAGCTGACTAAACTGGAGATTAAAAGAAGAAATCTGGACACTGAGAACCTGCAGGTGCGTGTCACTGCCTTCTTACTTTGCCCTCCCACATTACCAGATTTATTTTCTGCCTCTTGTTTTGTTTTGGCAAATGTCATGTCATTACTCCATGGGAATAACCAATCACTGAACACACTAAGGATCAAATAACAGTCACAATTAAATAGATACAACGAGGGATATTAATTATTCTTTTTGGAGCACAACAAAGTGCTCTTTAAGCTCTCAACAGTATTTATTGATCTGTGAGTATTTTCACTCCTACCTCAAGTGACGCTATGTGTATTTACAATATAAGTTTGTATTTGTGTACGTGTGTGTGTGTGTGTGCAGGAGGTTCTGGTGGAGCAGCGCTCGGCTCTCAGTGATTTGTTGCAGCAGCTGCTGAAGCAGAAAGACCAGAGAGAGCAGGAGCTGCGGGTGGTTCTGGTGAGGAAAACGCTGTTTTCACCTCCATTCATCTTTCTTATTTGATTAAATTTAGCTTATTACAAACATCTGTATTAATGCTATCAAACATCTGTTAGTGGTTATTTTAAACCTCAATATATAAGTCATTAAATAAAAGTTGTTTGTGTTCCTCAGGCGGAGATGGAGCAGAAGTCAGAGTCCAACCAGCAGAACTATTGGATGATTCAGTACCAGAGACTGCTGGACGCCAAGCCGCTCACACTGCGCATGCAGGTACAGTTACAGAGCAGAAGGGAGGCACAGAATCATCTGGAAACCAAACTGTGATGAATCTTAAATGTCTTCTCATTGCAGGAAGCAGGCGTGGAGAAGGAGTTAGTGAACCTGCTGTGCAGACTGTCCGCTCAGCACTACCTGCCCATCCTCGCTCACCACAGAGTGACCACTGAGGAGCTTCGCTACATGAACTCATCGGACCTCAAGAAGGTCTGTCTGCTAAATCATCACTAAAACATTTGACCTGTTTCACTTTGAACAGATTGAACGCCAGCCTGAATGAACACAGCTGTTAACCTGGAAACCTTTGTTTTATCTCTCACTTTTACTCTCATACTCCTCTCACTCTTCTCTTTTAAAGCTGAATCAAGTAAATGCTTTTTAGAAAAATATCATGAGAGATTTATCAGTAGGAGATCAAGTGCACCTCTGGTTTAGAGGAGAACAACTCTCTGATTATCCTGACCATGCATCAGCTGATATAGGACATTTTTCAGCAACAATTAAAAAAACAAAAAAACGTTTTTCTGTTAAGACATGAGTCTGCAGAGGTTCTCAAGAGGCTGCTTTGTAAAGCAAAAAAAGACCTCTGGATATCCGTATGGCTCTAGATTTTTTTTATTTTCATTTCATCATTTGTCAGACGTTGTGTTCCTGTAAACCATTTCCACAAATATTACTCTGAAACAAAAGTCTTTTCTGTCTTTTCCAATACTTCTTTGCAACCGAAAGAAAAATGATTCTAAAGCAGCTCTTTTCAACGTTTGATCATAACTATGTTACACGTGAGCCACATCTGCTTAAAACCAGATTGGTGTGCTGCCCCCAAGTAGCCAAAGAAAATAATGCAGGAAATAGTGGAATGTTAAATGTGCAGAATAATCAATTTAGTTTGTTTCTCTTTGTTCTCAGCTCGGCATCAACGAAGTAGGAATCCAGAAAGCTCTCCTGAAATGGGCTCGAGATCACAAGCCTGCAGGTACATTTTACATACTGTGACAAACCTGATGTGAGTGTTTTCAAACCCCTAATAAGAATCTCTGCCCTCACTGGTAAAGAAAAACAGCAAAGAGGTGATCTATGCAGCCTCAACAATCATGACAAACACAAAGTGCTGAAACAAAACAGGAAAGAGAGTTAAGATTAAAAAGAAAGGGAAATCAATGTTTTGGTAATTTAAACGTATAAGTGATGTCATTGAAAAGTCTTCTTGTTGCTGTCTGTTGATTATCTCCTCCTTTACCAGGAGCTTGTAAGGCTGCACCAGAGGAGGAGGAGGAGGAGGCAGAGGTCAGACCCTCAGCTCCGTCTCCTTCTCCCCTTCCATCGATTCCCACCACCTCAGCCATCCACATCCCCAGCCCTCCACTCACCCCGGGGACCCCCGTCACCCCTTCAGCACCCAGCCCTGTGGAGGGTCCAGGGAGCTCGGAGTGTGTGGTGTGCATGGAGACCGGGGTAAGAAAAACCCTCAAAGTATTACCCTCAGTCTTTTGTGTTTTTGTTGTTTTAAGGATTCTAAGTTTCTTTTGATTTTGTCTTTGAGAATCCCAGTTTTAGAACAAACTTACACCCTGACTAATTCCTCACACTTAAACTTTTATCACTTCTGATTTTGTAACACTTCAAAGAGATACCACACTCAACTCTCTAACTGCTGAGTTTTGTTCATCACTACTAATTCATGTTCTGAATTAATTCATTCTGTTCATTACTGAAGAGATTTATACCCTACCTAACCTTTGAAAGTCTGTCCAATAACTGACTGTAAACAAACAAAAAAAGAGCACTGACCTTGTGTTCTCCTCCCGTCTCTCAGTCTCAGGTCATCTTCCTGCCCTGCGGTCACGTGTGCTGCTGTCAGGTGTGCAACGACGCCATGCAGAACTGCCCTCTGTGTCGTAGCAACATATCTCAGCGTATACGCCTCTATCAGAGCTGAAGCCCCTCCTCCTCCTCCTCCTCCTCTGACCACAGCTCTCTGTATCCTTGCATGGTCATCAAGCTGCTGTGAGCGAACCTGCCATCATGTAGACGAGCTTGTAGCTGAGCCACTTCCCTGTATTAACCAGACAGTACTTGGTGAAATAATTATTTTAATGTGTTTTAATTTCACTGCTGTTACTCTGTTTTTGTTTTCTGTTTGTTTGATATATTTAGAGCCAAGTGTTTTACACTCCTCACTTTTTAAAGACCAACTGTTCTTTGCCTTATTATAGATTCTTAAACGCTGCGTGCCTTTTTCTGGAAATCTCTTCCTTTAAATAATATTACACGTCTCTTGTCAACCAAAGTAACATGTCAGACATTTACAGAAGAGTCCCTCCTGTACAGGGTATTTCAGACCGGGGAGAAGCAGATTCAGAAGGGAATACAGATTCACAAATACTGTGAGTATTTAAAGTCAGATTGTGGATTTAGCACTTATTTTCCCCCGACATGACTCTTAGAATTCTTCTGACGGCTGCTCTCTCAGACTAATATCTTTATAAAAGGATATGAAACATGATGATTCACTTCACATTCAGCTGTGATGCCCTGCTTCGTGTGCTGCAGACAGTGCTGAGAGGATTGTAAACTATTTATTCAACATGCGCTCTGTTGCATAAAGTACATGTCCACATCATTTCTAAAAGACCCCAAACATTGTTCTCTGCTTTCTTTGTTCTGTAGAAATGTTTTCCTGAAGGCACATACGCTGAACATATCGGATTATAACATCTGATGACGACCTCTGTATCGGTCAATACTCATTCACTAACACATCATCTGTTGAGTGTTTTTCCTTTTTGATATCGCTGCGACTTTTCTTTGCATCACGTCCGCAGCTTTGTTTCCCCTTTTCTGTCCGAGGCGTCTGTCCCGTCTCATCCAGGCCGCTCTGTGCCTGCTGCAAAATAAATCCTAATGACATAATAATGACTGTTAAGATAATAACCAGGGAGACACACTCTGCGTTGTTTGACCCCTGTTAGCATCACCGGTTGGTCTTCGGTTGGTTTTATTCCATTCCATACTGTAGTTTATGGCCCCTTGTTTGCAGAGTGAGAATCTGAAACACAAAGAACACAGATTTAGTTTTGTTATCCTGAAATATGAATGTATACAGTAGTCTAATGGCTGCGCCTCTGGAGAAAGGTTTTTTTTTTTGTTTCATTTAAAATTTTAGGGGGGGCTTATTTTTATTTTGTTTTAATTTAAGTTATTTTTTAAGTTGTGATTTTAAAAAAGTTTTAACTAAGTTATGTTTTATTCTTGAGGGAACTGTTTTATTTGAGATAATAAGCCGGATAGTATCAGGAGAGTTTTTCTGACTGGTGTGATATTAATGTACGAAGCCTCAGCGACGTCACCCGTCTGTTCCTGCAGGGGGCGCTGGAGTCCCATCGATGGCGGTCTCCATGCTGGAAATGCTGTCTCAGTCTAACTTTCAGTCAACCTAACAACAGGCTGAGAGCTGGAGCTGAGGCGGGTTTTAAGCCTCCTGACAAACCGTTACACCGCGCCCACCTGTCAATCAGGTCAGCTAAGCGCTTAACTATGGATAACATGTATTGTTCATAAAATCAAAATAGATGGGTTATAAAAAAAATTCACCCCCCGTACAGTGTGTGTCGATCGAGACATGAGCTAATCAGACCTATTTGTTTTTTTGAACCAGGCTGTAAACATGTTCATCTCTGCTGTAAAAACAGGCTTTTTAGAATGGGTGTGTATGTGACTTCCTGTGTTCTGCAGCCAGCCTCTAGTGGACACTCGATGAGGGTTGCTGCTTTGTTAGAACACACTGTTGCATTGCATTGTGGGAAATGTAGGGTCGAATAGTCTGGTTTTCTCAGCTTCTATTACTTCAGTCTTTATCTTTTTTTATGTGCAATTCTAAATTAGTGTAGTGGTCTTTTGAAACTAGACTTCTGCCACAGGTACCCTTTGAATTCAAGCTCAGACAGAAAAGCAGGACTTTGTGAAGTGATGCATATATTCTTATTTCTACACACGACGTTGCAATCAAACAATCATTTGTTGCACAGTCCAGCTGCACCTGTTCTCCTGCGGGTCTCCTGCACAGGTTCCTGGTTATCCTGTCGTGATCCACGCCTATACCTCACTTTAGGTTTCTTCCACTTGTCTGCTCACATCCCCTGATGTCTTTGAACTGCTATATACGATGCATAAAATCATATATTCACTAACAACACATCGCCTGTGTGTAGCTCTCACTAATGCAATTATAACCAAGTGCTCTTAACTTCAACATCTCAGCATGTTTCAGGAACTATCTTTACATATTTGGATATGTGTGTTTAATGTAACGTTTAAAAGATTTTGTTCTATATAAATCTGAACATATATAACGTCATTTTAATGTGCTCACCTTGTTGATGTGAAAGCTTTGTGTTGTAAAATATTCACGGATCCTTCATGGGAGAACACGTCTGGAAATGTACTTCAATAAACTGAATATAAACATATCGTATGTGTTGTTTAGTCTCTTTTATACACAATATATATGAATACTTTATAGAGTAGGATACCTGCTGTCTTTAATATTTTCACCTTCTTGTGTAGGTAGGGATCTCAGAACAAACCCCATGTTGATCACTTTTGGTTACTTACTCTACAGTGTCTACTGAAGAGGGGTTGAGACTCTGGGTGGGATCCCAAACAACCAACTCAATGTTTTAATCACTAGCTCATTAAAGGGCAACATCATCATAAATACATTCATTATATTCATTACATGAAAAATATATTTAAACTGCATATTTGGGGAGCCATTGAACGCAATTTCTGCCGTGAATTTCTTTGCGACAAAGAAATTTCCGATTTTCCTTGTGCAACATAAACGTACCACTAACGGAAGAGCCAATCACAGAGTGCTGCCGTAAAGTGTGAAGTGCATGTGTCGTAAGAGCAGCCCGTTGCTTTAGTTAGTAGAGTTATTTATCACTTTTATGATCTTTTCAGACTCTAGTTGACGACGACAGTCAGTAAGTATCGTATTGAATGTGATTCTCTCATTAAAGATGATTTTATTGTAGAAAATATTCAAACGAACAAATATTAATCAGCATATTTCCTTCACAGCTAGCTAGCCTGCTAGCAGCTAACTGCTAACCATTCAGTCATGTCAAAGAGAGTCACATTGTAAGCGGGATGTTATTTATCTACGTTTCAGTCTTTTATTAACTATAATAAGACATGTCATCTTAGAAACAAGGTGCCAACGCGTCCTGGGAGACTTATAAAACAGTTAAACCAATTCTCCAGTCATGGAAAACACATGAAAATAAGAGAAAAGTCTCTAAAATTATTGTAAAACTACATTTCAGAGTTCCCCAAACAGATGATCAGCTGAAAGGGTTAAATTAATTAAAATACTGACAGTAGTTTATGGACAATGGTATATTAATAATAAGAAAGGATGTTCCACTTGTTTTATTTAATATTAAACACTTTTGCTGGATGAATTTCTATGATTTGAAGTTATTTATAAATGAACATTTGTTGTTATCCTTATTACTATTATGGTCATAACTTCACCATTAACTACTTATTTATTAGCATGCTCATTAGTACCATACTGGCTCCTTATTGGTCATTATTAAGGGGTTATTAGCACTTTATTCTACAGTACCATAATATACAGCTAACAGGTCATTAACTAAGAGTTTTCCCTCAACACCCTCCTAATTACTGCTTATTGATAGTGTGTCAGCAAGTTGTTGAACATGAATTATGATCTAATTATGTTTTGCCTAGTTTGATCTTATAAGGGACAAACCTGAGAACTAGTCTAAAGATGAAGGCATTTCCTTTTTGCACATCAGTACGAGATCTGCCAAATCCATGTCCTTCTTTAAAAATGGGATGACTGTTATGAGTCACGTTATGACTGTTTTTTTTCTTTCTTCCAGTCATCATGTCGAAGCCGACTCTGCTGGTCCTCTTCGGGAGTCAGACTGGGACGGCTCAGGACACGGCTCAGAGGATCGGTCGCCAGGCTCAGAGGAGGAAGATGAAGGTTCAAGTTCTTCCTCTGGACGATTACAACGTGGTGAGTGTGAGGCAAGGAGAGGTGGGGGGGGGGGGGGGGTTAAACTGCTGTTGGGGTGGTTTTCCCCCTCTACTCATCTCTTTGTGTTGTGGACGGTCAGGTGTAGATCATGTCCAGGTTACCCCTCATGTTTCCTCTCTTCATTGTTTCCTCTTCACTCAGGCCAACCTGATCTCAGAGTCTCTGGTTGCCTTTGTTTGCTCCACCACCGGACAAGGAGACCCTCCCGACAATATGAAGGTAAAGAAACGACGGCTGCAACGATGATTTTTTCATTAACTTTTGATCTTCTCATTATTTTTCTCGATCCACTGATTAGTTGTCTGGTCTATAAATGTGATTGTTCACAAAAGGCACAGATGACGTCGACGCTGTCAGAGGAGGAAAGAAAACAGGATATATTCACGTTTAAGAAGCTAGAACAAAGAAATGATTTCAAAACGACCTGCTTTTTTAGGGGGCATTAAACTCTCCAACAGAGAAAGTTAAAAGGAAAAGGAGAAGCTAGCTAGCTATATTAGCTGCCTCTATTTTGGGCCCTGCTGCAGTTGATTGTTCTTAATGCTCAGCGTTGTCACAGCTTGCTCCTGTACAAGTTGAAGAGGTAAATCTGCACGTCAGAGCTGAGCTAAGCACCAAACGTTTTGTGCAGATATTTGAACCCCACAAGCTAAATGCAGTGATGTCATCTGAATCAACTTTTTTTTTGAAACCCAGATGTGATCAGAATTTAACGCTGAAACGATGGGTTTGAATATGGATGTGTTTCTAAAGTTGTTTAAATTCTTCATATTCTGATACTTTCAGTTCCCACGTGTTCGAAAACGATACAGTCTTTAACTTTAACAAGTGATAGTATAAAAAAAGTACCAAAGCTTTAAAAGTAAATTCAAATCTTGAGTCATATTTTGACCAGAAGCTGCCGTGACCAAAGAGAGAGAGAGAGAGAGAGAGGGCGAGTGATTATTGTCTAAATTTCTCACATGTCGGCCACGTTTCATTAACAAACCTTGCAGACATTTTTGTGCAGTTTAGACAATGTGCAGAAGTTCGCCTGTAATTTTTGTTGATTGAAAACTAGAAATGACTCAGTGTTGGTGCTCAGGACTTCAAGTATCGTTGCCATGGTAACAAGTCAGTTATTGATATTGTTGGATTTTTTAATAAAATTGTATCAAAGTTCAAATTCTGGTATTCATTTGTGACAACCCAGCGGCTTCAATCTTCACTTCTTGAGTTTGTAAAAATGTCTTATTTTTAAAATGAAGACAGATACATCAAATATAATAATATGATATGGATATAAATATCTATAAATATGTTTTCTGTCCATGTCTTCCCCCGTCACAGAAATTCTGGAGGTTTGTCTTCAGGAAGTCTTTACCTGCTGGGTCTCTGAGCCGGCTGGACTGTGCCGTGCTGGGTCTGGGGGATTCCTCTTATCCTAAGTCAGTCCTCTTCCCGTGTTCTCTCCGCACACATTCACTGTCCTCGTATTTATAGAAGCATTAACCTCTTGTGTCGTCAGGTTTAACTTTGTGGCAAAGAAGCTTCATAAACGCCTCCTGCAGCTCGGGGCGAGTGCTCTGCTGCCCGCTGGACTGGCAGACGACCAGCACGACCTCGGGTGAGGAACATCTTACTGATTGGACCTTAAAGAAATGTCATCCTGGACAACATCTGTCTCCAAACTCCAGAATTACAGTCCTCTCTGGTTCTACACAAACATGTTACAATGAAGGCGGTTTCATGCCAGAAAACATTTGGACATTTCTCTGGGATTCTGTGTCTTATTCACCTCCTGATATGTGTGCACCAGGTCGGACGCTGTGATCGACCCGTGGCTCGGCTCATTCTGGGAGAAGGTGTTTGCTGTGTACCCGTCTCTGTCTGATGTGACCCCTCTGAGGGAAGATGAACCGTGAGTCTCACAATGATATCTCCGTCTGCTGTGGCATGTTCAGTTTGAAAGTTTGTCCCATCATTGTCTCCTGTTAACTTCTAATCAGTTGTGTTTATTTTTTTGGTTTCTGCGTCAGACTCCCTCCGTCGTACACTTTCCACTTCCTGGATGACGTGAACGAGAAGACAGAAGACCGGCTGCAGAGTCCTGATGTCCCCTCTCAGTCTCGTCCCTTCCCCTGCAGACTTGTGTCAAACAGACGAGTGACAGACGAGTCGCACTTTCAGGAAGTGAGGCTCATCGAGTTTGATATCACCGGATCCAACATCGAGTGAGTAACACAACATCTGCCACCAACATGTAATGAACTCTTCAGGTTTTCTGATTATTGCTAAACAAAAAAGGTTTGTAGGTGCTGAAATACTGTGACACAATCTGGGACACACTCAGCTCTGAATATCGCCCAGAAGCAGTCTTTGAAATGTTAATTAAAGGTCCAATCAGTGAGATGTGTAGTGAGTGAAATGATAAAGTGAGCTTACTATCTGATCAGACATTAAGGAAACATGCTATGTTGAAGTGCTGGCTTCTCTGACAACAATGCAGCAGCCAGTATGTCCTCCTTCTAACTTTAGATTCTGCTCCTGAATGATCTGGATTTGTTTGGACCAGAGAAGGTAGGCGGTTTTAAGACACCCCCACACGGCCGTTTTGACGCCCCTCGGTTTGTCAGATATGAGAGCAGTTATCAGGTCAACAGGTGTTGCAGTGATGGAAGCAGCAAGAGAAGTGGTTCAGATAGAAGTGATTGTACCCGACCTAAAAAGCCTCTGCATGTTTCTAATAAGCTCCACGAGCAGAAACGTGCTCAAACTAGGATCAATATTGGAGATGCTTTTGAAAAATGGAGAGAGGTTAGAACACAGAAAGGTTTACAGACCGATGCAGAGCTGGATAAACACTGAAGCTTCAGTGTCCACCACATGGTGACCTGTGTGAGCATCGACTCTCGAGAGGAGGGGGGGGAGACAGCTCTCTATGATGTTTAATATATGGACTGCAGTACCCATTTTAAACACTAGGTGTCAGAGTTACATGTTGCTCCTTTAAGGGTGCGTTGTAGCGTATTTGGCAGATGCAGCACACAAACTATTCTTCATTTACTTCTTTCATCTGTTGAACACAAAGTAAAAGTTTTAAAGCCTCTTCAGACTCATTCTGTTCGTTGTGGTTTTGTGATGCAGGTTTACTGCCGGTGACGTGGTGATGATGCATCCTCATAACTCACCTGAGGACGTCGAGCTGTTTTGTCAGATGCTGAGATTAAATCCAGAGGATAGATTCACCGTCAGAGCCGCAGACAACACGGCAGGTTGGGATGTTTTTGTGTTTTTTTTTTTTGTTTCACAGTGTGCATAATTCATATCTTTGTGTTCATAGTAAAGAATCTCTTCATGAGTAAACTTGTGACTGGATTCAGATGTAAGAGCATATTTTGTGTCCAGTTGTGATAAGAATGTGGAAACCTATTCCCTTTGACGGTCTTGATCTGTTTAAAATGCTTAAACTGAACTCTTGATAACATAATAGTTTCATGGTGATGATGAATCTCTTCTGTATCTTTCTTCTCAGTTCCAGCCAGGCTCCCTCAGCCGTGCTCGGTGCGCCACCTGGTGGAGACATACCTGGACATCGCCGCTGTGCCTCGCCGCTCCTTCTTCGAGCTGCTGTCCACCTTCTCCACCAACGAGCTGGAGCAAGAAAAGCTGCAAGAGTTCAGCTCGGCGGCCGGACAAGACGATCTACACGGATACTGCAACCGCCCGCGACGCACCGCGCTGGAGGTGATGACTAACGTTACCCTGTGACGTCTAATGACTCTGATTTAGATTTATTTCACAGCCCCTCTGTGTGTTTTTGTATCTTTTTAATTGCTGTGATGTCATGAAAATATTCCTTCCTGCTTTAAATCAGAAAAGTCTGTATTTATTCGGCCATCTTTGGCTTCTGCCCCTACATCTTACTAACTACCCCCGAGGGAGCCAATCATGTCCAGATCTACAGATTTGAACCATTAGAGGCTTTGAAAGATTGACATCCTCATTGAGCGTATCATACTCTTCTCTCCTCCTCTGCTGCAGGTGTTGTCAGATTTCCCACACACCACAGCAGAACTCAAAACAGACTACCTGCTGGATCTGTTCCCTGAGATTCAGCCTCGCTCGTTCTCCATCGCCTCCTCTCTGCAGGTACTTCACCACTCAAGAGAAATACTCAAGGTTTAACTATATTCTCCTTAAACCTGGACTTATGTTTCTTTTTCTTTTACATGTTTTGGGGACTAAATAAATATAAGGTGCTACATTTTTTTGTAACTTTTCCAGTTGAATGTTTCAGCCTGCAGCTACAAAACCTGCTGTAGTGGCTGTAACTTATTTAAAATCCCTGACAGGCTCAGATTGTTACTGTAAGTGTCTGAAATATATAAATAAAGGATCCCTACAGAGATACACCTTTGTGTTTGAGAGGGAGATGATTATTCTTAACCAGAAACAGCTGTCACAAAGCTCTCTTTAGAGGAGCAATATGTAACTCTGACCCCTAGTGTTTAAAATGGTTACTGCAGTTCAAAATCTAAACATTGTAGAGAGCCGTCCTCTCCTCGCCCCCTACTCTCATGCATGTTGCCATGTGGTGGACACTGAAGCTTCAGTGTTTAGCCAGCTCCGCATCGGCGTTCAGCTAGACTCTTCTCCTCTGTTGCCCCCTGGTGGTGGAACGAACTACCAAACTCCATTCGATCCGCAGAGTCCCTGTGCACCTTTAGGAAAAGCTAAAAAACCAAAAACAAGTGAATCGTTTATTTGGGGACTTTAACGTGCAGAAAACTCACCCAAAATTTTCCCTCGTGTGTAATTTACCTGCAAATAATTTAGACCCCAAAATAAATCAAATATAGGGCCCAGGTTTAAAAGCAACATACCCCCCCCTTTAACTTCTAAAAAAAAAAATTACACGTAAATAAAAGTTATTGATTCACAGATTGAAACACGATAAATCACAGTGACATCTTGTTTTTGTTCCCTCCCTCCTCAGGCTCATCCAAACAGGCTGCAGATTCTCGTCGCTGTAGTCCGCTACAAAACCAAAATGCATAAACCACGAACAGGTCTCTGCTCCACCTGGTTGGCCTCCCTGGACCCTGAACAAGGTCTCACAGCATGCCCCCTTTGGTCTGTTTGTTAGATACGAGCGTACACACAGATATGACAACACTCTCCCTGCAGCAGCTTCTGCACGAACAGATCGTATGAACAGTTTCTGCTGCACACTCGCTCACTGGGAGGAGTTTAAGATGGTACTGGAATCAGCTGTTCACTTAGACTTTATTTATCCCAGAGGGGGATTCAGTTCCACAGTCCATGCAGACCATGCACACATTTACAAACAACAGATGGAGGACGTCAGAAACAACAGACCAATCAGTACTTGACAGAGACGAGCGCTGGCACGCTGACACCCTCGTGTGGTGTCTTTGGGTAATGACACCCACAAGGGCCAGGCAGGATGAGAAGACGGCCTTTTTTAATTACCGATATGTTGTCATCTTTGCATAGTTTGGAGAGTAACAGCCTTCTGAGTTTACAGTAACTTGGCCTCACAAATGAAATGAAAACTTTGTGAGATCTTATCGTGTTGTTGTAAACTTTGTTCCAGGGGAGATTTTTGTTCCTCTGTGGGTGAAGAAGGGCACTCTGAAGTTCCCTAAAGACGCTGACACTCCTGTGATCATGGTCGGCCCGGGGACCGGTGTGGCTCCGTTCAGGTCGGCTGTACAGGAGCGGAGCGCTGAGGGCAAACATGGTGAGAACTTTTACTTTCAGTCTTTTTTACTTTTCTCGTTTTTTTATTTATTCTGTAACTAAATGTAATCTCCTCACGCTCCTCGTCTTTGTCTCCCTCGTCGTCAAGGTAACGTTTTGTTCTTCGGCTGTCGCTCCGAGTCCCAAGACTTCTACTTCAGGTCAGAGTGGGAGGAGATGACGAAGGCCGGACACCTGACGCTCTTCACTGCTTTCTCAAGAGATCAGGTCAGAGCCACAAAACACTCATCACACGTCAGTTTCCTGCATGTCGTTCCCCGTCTCTCTCTCTCTCTCTCTCTCTGGAAAATGTTGGGATGACATGCAGCAAAGGGCCATTGATAACTTTAAAACTTCAATATTTAAAATATAATACAGCACTGACTCCGCCTGGCTACCTGCTGCAGCCCAGTGGAGGTGTCTGAGTCTCCTCTGTTAATAATCAAACTGAATATTTTCCAGGAGGAGAAGGTGTACGTGCAGCATCGAGTGAGAGGAAACGCTCAGCTTCTGTGGAACCTGATCGCCAATCAAAACGCTTGTTTCTACATCGCAGGGTGAGTCTGAAGGGTCGCTGTACTTCATAGTGTTTCAGGATTTTGTTCTGGTTCTGGTCTGGTGAACTCTGAAACAGGTCGTGCTCGTTCATGCTGGACAGAAATGTGACACATTTCCTTTCCTTATTTTAGATTTAAGCGAACACTTTGTTTATATGAGTTCAGTAAATCCCTAAAAGAAAGCTGGTCACTTTATTTTTTAGATGAAGATAGTCTTTTGGTTTTTTGTGTTTCATGCTGAAGGGGCGGCAGCAGCTCAGTCTGTAGGGACTTGGGTTAGGAACTGGAGGGTCGCTGGTTCAAGGACCAAGTCTGGAAATTGGTATGGTAGATGGAGAGGTGACAGTTCACTTCCTGAGCACCACCAAGGACAGCAACCTCAGGAGCACTCGCTGTGTGCAGCCCCCTCACTCTGACATCTCTCCATCAGTGCATGTCCACAGGATCCTGTTTGTGTGTGTGTTTCAGCCTGTGTGTGTAGCATGATCAACAATAGTGTAAAACTGAATTTCCCATCATAGGATTAATAAAGGATATCTTACAGTTACTCAGAGATTCTCCGTTAATGTGTCCAAAAGGTGACTGTGACTGAGTAAAAAACACGACGTTGGTCTTTCTCTGCAGGAATGCCAAACAGATGCCCAACAGCGTGTGTGACGCTCTGAAGGAGGTGTTCCAGCAGGAGGGGGGCGTCTCCTCCGAGGACGCTGAGCGGATGCTGGAGGTCATGGAGAGGACGGGCCAGTTTCAGAGTGAGACCTGGTCCTGATTACACCACTTTGAGTCGCAGTAAACTGCTGCTGAGCTCACGGCTCAAAATATTTAAAGTAAAATCCTCCAGGTTTCTGAACACGTTTGATAAAAATGTGTTACATCGAGGAAATATATTTAAAAGACTTCCTGTTAAAGTTTGAAGTATTGCCTTATTTATCTGATAATCAACGAATGGTATCAGAAATATTCCTACAGGTGTCTTCTACTCGGCCAAAGAGCAACTTATTGTTAAACAGTAATTTGTTCAGAGTTCACATGAAGACGCGTGGTTGTGGTGCGCGCCCCACGTACAGAAGCTGTAGTCCTCAAAGCGAGTGGCCCAGGTTTGAATCCGTTTTTTTCCCTTTATTGGACATGACAGCTGAAGAGAGACAGGAAATGTTGGGACAAGAGAGCGGGGGGGGATGGCATGCTGCAAAGGGCCAAGGTCGGATTTGAACCCACGGCTGCTGTAAAGATGACTTTAGCGTCTGTATATGGGGTTCTTGACATCGCTAGGCTATTAGGCGCCATCCCAAAATAAATCTTTATGAAGAAACTGAGATAAAAGGAACTCCCAAAGAAAGGCGTTCTCTTTGTATTTAAAGCTGATTTACTAAAAATGCCAAGAAGAAAATAAAATGTTAAACATATTAGAAACAAGGTGAACTAAATGACCGTACAGAGTGACTGAATTGTAACTTAATGATGTAAACATGTTTGACGACAGAGTAAACACTCTAATGGACCAATGATGACGCAGTATACATCTGATTTAAGTGTATGAAATAAATAAATAAATAATCATTAATTATTATCAGGCTGATGTGATTATTCATTATTTTGACTGGGGTAAACTGCAACAGGTGTTGCAGTGATGGAAGTGGGCAAGAGAAGTGGTTCAGATAGAAGTGATTGTACCCGACCTAAAAAGCCTCTGCATGTTTCTAATAAGCTCCACGAGCAGAAACGTGCTCAAACTAGGATCAATATTGGAGATGATTTTGAAAAATGGAGAGAGGTTAGAACACAGAAAGGTTTACAGACCGATGCAGAGCTGGATAAACACTGAAGCTTCAGTGTCCACAACATGGCAACCTGCGTGAGCATGGACTCTAGAGAGGAGGAGGGTGGGGGAGACAGCTCTCTACAATGTTTTAAATTTGGCAGCAGTACTCATTTTAAACACTAGGGAGCAAATAAAACATCAAGGCAGCTTCTTATTTTTTACTGGTGAAAATAATCCATATCATACGAATCATTCAAGGTTCATAAAATTCATGAGTTCAGACATTGATTGTATAAACAGTTTGTTTAAATTAGGACCTTTAGAAGTTGGATGTAAAACATTTTGCTTGATTCAGTGATCAACATTAAGTTAGATTTTTAGTTTTAGACGAGCATCAGTGTCTACAGATAAATAATAATTAAGGACTAAAGAAAAACAAAAAGTCTGAGTTAGAACATCGAGCTAAACTGACCTGTTTTCAATAAGCTCTTCGACATTAAAAAAGTCAATAAGCAGCTGACTCGCTCTCTGCTTCCAGCATCAGTCAGTCCAGTGAAGCTCATCACACCCTGACAGAGAACTTGGCGCCACACTGAACATGTGTGTAATAAATAAATACAGAGCGGCGTGATGAAAGTGTGTAAACAGTCTGTCAGATTGATACCGCAGGTTGTGGTCTGGTGATGACAGAGCTGGAAGAAGGAGACGTCTCCATTTCCAAACAGCAGAAGAGTTCCTATTGGCCGACTGTCCATGTGCAGAAGCTTAAAAGGTGAATATGAAACTGTGATTACTAAAGGAACTGTTTCATTTTCCAGAAAGTGAACAGTTTAGATTTATGCGATTTGAAAAAGTATCCAAGTATCTGAGATTCTGACAGCCTTGATTTAGACGTCAAAGTATGGAAAAATGGGGCTGTGGTTAAAAACACCTGAATGTTCTCTTTAAGGCGCACCAGACATGAAGACGGTTCTAGTTAAACGAGTCACTCTGCAGATAATAAATGACTCGCTGACTAGAAGAAGCACTTTGTATACATGCCCCGCCCCCCTCCTCCTGCAGTCCTCTATCTGAGAGCCAGAGTGTGGACTTGGAAGATCTCCTTTGGGAAGTCCATTTGTTGCTCCTCGTGGACGATGCGGAGACCCGCTCTGCCCACCAGACTGTGAACGATGTCCAGGTCTCTGCACACACTGCTGTCCACCTCGTCAGGGACCACCCCTTCATATGAAATATTGTCCTTTATCACGATTAGGCCGTTCGGCCGCAGAGCGCTTTGACAGCGACGCAGGAACTCCACCAGGTGATTGTCCGTCAGGTGACCTGACAAGGAGAACAGGAGGGAAGGTGTTTAATGAAGAGGGGTCTAAGATTTAAGTCCAAAAGGTCCGAATCATGATCAAAAAATATGAAGTTAAAGAAAAAGTCAGGTCCCAAATCAACTCCAAAGTCAGACTAAAGTCAAGAAAAATGAACCCCTAAATCAAGTCCCAACTGGAGATCAACAAGTCCAAGGGCTGATGCAAATCAAGTCAAAATCAGGACCAACAGATCCAAATATAAATTCTATTCAAGGCCAAACATCAACCCCAAAGAGGATCAACATGTCCAAAGTAAAGAGCAACAAAGCCAGAGTTCAGTCAAGAATAATATGTCAAAAATCAAGAGTACAATATGAGTCAGGACTAGCTGGTCACTTTTTGAGTCCCTAATCAAAAACCAAAAGTCCCAAGTCAAACTCCCAATTCAAGACCAAAGAGAGGATCATTAACCATGTCAAGTTTTGGGTCAAGACCAGCAGATCTTTGATTAATGTAAAGAGCATCAAATCCCAAGACAAGACAAACATTTCTCAGATCCAGACCCAAGTCCCAGGAAATCAGAAAAAGTCCCCCATGTCACTCCCATATCAAGACCAACAAATCTCAATATATTATATATTATATAATATAATATCAAGTCTAAAGAACAGCCAAAAAACTAATAATTAAAGTTTACAGTCAAGAAAAGTATGCCTATGTAACGTCGAGTCTGAAGCATAGACCCAACAGGTCCCAGGTCAAGACCAAAGTCAAGACACACAAAGCAAAAGACAAGGTTAAGACCAAAACCCAGGTCAGCTTCCAAGTCAACTCCAACAAGTCCTAATTCAGGACTAACAAGTCTCAAGTCAGGTCACATATTGAGATCAACAAATCCCAAATCAAGTCCTGATTAGTCAAGACAAACATGTCCCGAGTCATGACCAACCATCAGGTATGGAAACACGGATACAGAGACTCACCAATGACCCACTGGATCCAGATGACATCATAGCGCCCACTCTCTGGTACAAGGTCCTGCAGTCCACAGCAGAAGTAGTTCCCCACCCTCTTTCCGTCCTCCCCCAGGTACGTCTTGGCTTTGTCCAGGAACTCCTGCGTCACGTCCACCAGGTCCACGGTTTTGAAGAGCGGCAGCAGTAAACGCTTGGTGATCCTCCCAATGCCGGCGCCACAGTCCAGAGCGCAGCCCGCACCCGTCTTCCCCTCACCTTCCTTAGAACGAACAGCAGAGAGATGTGTGAACACAAGCGGCTACCTTCGACTAGAAAGGCTTTGAAACGGCAAACAACTCATTTTTAAAGAGTTACTTACGCCGAGGAACTTGTTCAGGAAAGCTTTGGATCCGTTGATGTCGATGCTGGAGATGCTGCCGTACCCTCCCAGCATGCCGTCCACGGTGGGGGGAACCTCCTTCCAGTAGCCCTCTGCATTGGAGTAGAAGCTGCCCTCATTTTCTGCGATGTCCCCCATCCTGTCCACAAATAACACGGTCACAGAAAATTGCATTTAACTGCAAAGTAAAATATGTGTATGCTCATATGTGGAGTTTTATAAGAGATATTAAATAAATTCAAAAGGGACATATCGTTTGTATCGATATAGTTTTATGTTACATTAAAATAACTTTCCAGTTCTCCTCTCACTGCGTGTCCCTCTTCACCCTGCTCCACCTCGCTCCCTCTCTGAGCAAAACTCAAAACAAAAACAGCAGAAGGAAAGGTACTTTTTTTTAATCTAAGGAGCATTTTATTCAATGTTATTAATTTTTTTCACAAACAGGTCGTTTATTTCCACGTTGACATTGTGCAGCTGACTGTCAATAAAAGTGCCTGTGTGACATTTAGGAAAGTGGCCCATGAAGATCTGGCTTAAGTCTGACTTTGTTTTTGTTGCTTCTTTGCAGACATGTATTGTGTCATCTTTTATTGCCATGGAGATATAGTATTTGGCCAGCCCTAACATGTAACAAGCTGTACAGTCACTGTGCGCTGGATAGTCTAGCGGTTATGTATCGCGCCCCACGTACAGAGGCTATAGTCCTCATCACAGTGGGCCGTAGGTTTGAATCTGACCTCAGCCCTTTGCTGCATGTCATCCCCCCCCCCGCTCTGTGCTCCTAACACTTCCCGTCTCTCTTTAGCTGTCCTGTCTAATAAAAGGCAAAAAGGCCCAAGAAATATCTTTATAAAACAACAAAACTATGAAATTGGGGCGCTGGGCTGCAGTCCTCCAAGCAGGCGCCCAGGGTTCAAATCTGACCTGTGGCTCCCTCCTGCATGTCATTCCCCACCCTCTCTCTCTCTCTCTCTCTCTCTCTCCCAACGTCCAAATCTATCCCTGTCCTGTCTCTTAAAAGAAGCCCAAAAATAAATAATAACATGTCGTGCTTTGTTGTACTGCGAAAGCATTTAGTATCCGACGTCGCCTGTGTTGTGTTCAGGTGACTTAATGTTTCTCGTGATCTGATTCATCCATATTCTGTCATTCCCACTGCAACAAGTTTAATAGAGAGGGTGAGAGGAGGACAGGTGGAGAGGTCACAGACACACGGGCAGGCGCTGACTGCAGCCAAATTTGGGCAACACTAGGCACTAATTCAGCTGTCAGCGCCCGTCTGGTGAGCAGAGCAGAGGGCACACGTTCCCTCTGAGGCTCTGACCAACATTACAGACACTCAGCGAGTCTTTACAACCGACAGGACGGAGGGTGGATACTAGAAAGTTTGTTTTCTCATGTATAAGGCTACATGATTCAATCTCAATCTCAATTAAAGCCATACAAACGAGTTAGTCACGTTTAGTGTTCTTACATAAAAAAAGGATTTGAGCTGTATTTTCAGGACACTTTTAAAGTTTAAGTCAACTTTAACATCTTGCTTTTTATCATAATGTGACAGCATGTGTTTTTATTATTAGAGTGCAGAACATGTCTTTGTTGAAATAATAAGAAATACAGCAGGAGGAAAATCGTGCAGCCCTAAAACAGCTTCACATGTGTCAACATTACTACATGAACCTTTTCTTACAGTCAAGATACAAATCACGTTTTTCTATCTGAATAACTGTTTCCATTGTTTAGTTGTGTGTTTGCATTATGTTAAATGTTGATCTATTTAACTTCATAACCACTTTGTAAAGTTATTCTAGATATAAAAGTGATTTAGACTGTTATAAGTTCAGTATTAGTTTTGCTTCTAGTGTTTCAGCTTTGTTTTCTACATGTGTCTTCAAACAGTGTTTTGGGCTGTTATGGTGAATTATCTTCGCATTGAACACAAATTAAATGCAATTTAAACACTTTTAATGAATCAACTCGAGTGCACCAGTCCTTAAATCACACCCTGTCATCTTTACAGTGATTTACACCCAGTTTGATGCTATTTAAAACATCCTGAACTTTGATTTCTCTGCAATTAAATCTCAAAAAGGTGGAGCTTTAATTTAACAGTTTGAAATAAGCTATAAACTAATAACAATAATAATGACAAATAACCAAACTTTCGTTTAACTGTCATTATATGAGTTTAATACCTCACTTAGAAGTGATAATAATTGATTTATTTACTGTTTATTGTAATTAAAAGCTTTAGGCCCTGGCTGCACGTGTCAAGTTAGATGTTGTAATTAGCATTTAGCCGACGAGCTAAGCTAGCCGCTAACAAACTCCTCCGTTTTCCGGTTAAATCATGAACATCTCAGCTGTTTCTTTGCTGTATAAAAGTATTTTCAATCAAACTAACCTGGTTCGTTTCAGCTCCAGGTCCCAGCACCCTCCTCGACCCGGTGTCACGACTTCACTTTTCTATTTGGGACCATCTCTGCACGCGCACCACGTCATTTCCTTATTTGGGTTTCTTGAGCGTGAGCAGAGACAGCAGCGCCCTCTGCTGGAGGAACTCTGTACTGCTCTCCAACACGGTGCTCACACCTGCTGGTGGCTTCTTCTGAAAACAGTCTGAAAGGTGAGTGAAGACCCTGATATTTACAGTCTATGAACAAAGTGAAGTCCATGAGAGAAAGAATCTGGACTGGTTTGATGTGTTCTCTGTACAGTCCACCTCCACCAGCTGAGGTCTGTTTGAAGGTATTATATTAGGTATTTTATAGCCCCTAAAATACAAAGTGTACAGACAGCTGAGGTTGGAAGGGGTCTACATTACGTAAGAGGAAATGTGGAGAATAACTGGCAGACCACTTTCACATGTTCTGGAAATTCCCAGTAATTCGGCCAAACTGGGAGGAGGCCTTAAAGAAAGTTTTTCCTCTCCTCTGTAACTTTGCTAAATGTTGCTTAATGCTCATGGTGGATTAGGCTAATGTTGATAATACAAATTATTATAGATAATATAACACAGAGTAAGGTATTTTACCTGCTCTTCTGTGACATCATATCACAATATTTTGACGTTTTCTGACGTTTGTTTACAAAATAAAGTATAGAAAGATAGACTCGTAAAGTACACTTTAATGTTAATTAAAGGGAAAAAAACACCGACACACGTAGATAAAGATGCACATATATACATTAAAGAAATCATTTTCACTCCATAATAACAGTAGGCCGACACGTTGAAAATGCGCCGAAATACATCTTTTAAAACATTTAATAACCTGCATCTTCTCACGCTATGTAAAATGAATATGTTTTTAAATTAACCATAAAACGGGACGTAATAAATATGAAAAAAACAAACTACAAACCAGAGGCGCAGTCGCGTGGTGATTATTGCGCGAGGGCTGCAGTGTCGTACACAATCCACAGGAGGGCAATGTGGTATCGAGCTATGAATGATCAACCTCTGTTCCTTCATTGTTTTGTCTACTCTCAAAGTCTTGCTGGGTTCGGGTTAGGATGGTTGGATGCCCAGTCTCAGTGTTTAAAGAGCTCAATCTCTATAAATATGTCTTTATCCTCAGTGATCGGTCAAATACTGTTCGTCTAAACTATTTCACTTCTTATTTTATTCTAAGGATGTTTGCACAGAGGAGATGCAGTTTAGTTCAGGCGTGACAAAACAGGATAAAACAAAGATAAACACAAGTTAAGTGCGTGTTATTGAATTTAAGGAATTATAAATGTCTAAATACGAGTTTTGTTTTTACAATAATAATGATTAATGCATCAGCCATAAGACGTGGAAATTAATCATTTTATTCATGTTTCCTCACTGAATCATGCTGTGGTATTAAAAGATTTGCATTCAGTTTCATTTGCAGACACAAAGGAACTTGATAAAATGGATTGAATATGATATGCCAATGACTGTAGTTTAGTTAGTTTAGTTAGTCTAAATCATAATCAGTTGCTGTGCATGGACTATCTGCTAGTGTCTTTTCTAAAACTACCACTAGGGGGCAGTAAAAACTCAGATATAATCAGATATCTCAGTGAGACAAATCTAACACGCAATCTCTGGATTAAAAACATAGTCAAAGTGAAAGTACCAAAAAGTGCAGTCCCTTAAGTGGCCACTAGTGGCTGGATCCATATGTGAGTCCATCCCATAGACTGTAAACATTAATGGATGAAGCCTGGGTGACGTCAGTCGTCTGTTCCTGCAGGGGGCTCTGGAGGCTCATCAGCAGCAGCCGCCATGTTGGAAATCCTGTCTCAGTCTAACTTTCAGTCAACCTAACGACAGGCTGAGAGCTGGAGCTGAGGCGGATTTTAAGCCTCTTGAAGATCTGTTACATCCCGCCCACCTGTCAATCAGGTCAGCTACACGCCTAACTATGGATAACACGTATCGTTCATAAAATCAAAACGGAGCCATTTAAAAAAATTCTCCCCCTACAGTGTGTGCCAGTGATGACAATAACTAATCAGACCTATTTAGTTTTCTGTACCAGGCTGTAAACATGTTTATTTTGAATGGGTGTGTGTGTGACTTCCGGTGTTCCTGCAGTCAGCCTCTAGTGGACACTCAACGAACTGCAGGATTTGCACTTCCGCATTAGCTTCATTTTTACTGCTTGGTCTGTCTCCATAGAGCATTAAAAAAGACACTTTACAACATAAATAAACATGTTTACAGCCTGGTAGAAATGTCTTGACTCTATAGCTCATTTCTCTCTTCATGTCGACTGTACCGAATGAATGTGAATGTTTATATACTTAATTTATATGAAGACATTAAGTTTTTTGCAAAATAAGGGGCGTGGTCTCTTTGACTAAAAGTTGGGTGCAGCTAGCTGTCTGCTCAGTGACACCGTGGCTAATTAATTCACTGAACTTAACCTCTAGTCATGTTTGTCCTGTCTTTGCCATTTTAGAGGGTTTTTTTTCTCATGCAAACGTAAAGGGACAAATATCAGATTGTCATTTTGAAAAAGTTATAAATATTATCACAGGAATTCCCTCCTGAAAAAGAGGCTTTCAGATGCTTTTCCTCATCTTATTAGCACTTTGTTGAATCATGCTGGAGCCTTAAGGAGCTGCTTCTGACAGCATTGACTTTTTCCTTCTTCACTCTTTGACTCTAACAACATTCAGTTCAGAAAACCTACAAGCTCGGTACAACTCAGCAAGAGACGACAGTATTTGCTTTTCCCATCCAGCTCTTCTGCAGTGAGGACCGCACAGAAGAACGAGGCTGGGTTGTCTGAATGTCAGTACCATCTGTCTCCAGTGAGGGGAGCTCTAGTGTAAAACGTTTCTGTATCTGCTGGTGGCAGCGGTGATGTGATTCAGTTCATCTTCAGTCTCTGGTGTTGAGGATTTGTTCATTCCTGTGCTGAACACAGAGTGTGTTGCTGGTTGGAGAGAGGGAGAAATTGAGCAAGCATGAAAGCTGTATGAACACTCTGCATGTTTGTGTGTGCTGCATATCGAAGCTTGATGCAGAAGGCAGCTGGACTTGGTTGAAGATCTTGAAGATATTGCACTGCTCCTCTGAAAGGCTTCTTCAGTTCTGAACTAGGAGAGGGGAAAGTCTTCAAGATCTTTAACCAAGTCCAGCTGCCTTTAGCTTCAGTTTACCATGACCTGGATGACAGACACATGTGCAGTATAGATATGATGCAGCGCTGAAAGACAAAAAACAAGACAATAATAAATACCTCGATAAACACAGGGGGTAATTAAGTGCTGCAACAAAACAAATACTCTGCAATCTTTGGTCTTTCAGAGTCCTCCTTCAGGGTTTTTAATTCAGAGCAAAACTCGCTTTCCTGTAATGGTTTGGAAGTGTAACAGGCAAAGATATTACATAAACCATGACGTGTACGTGTTACTGCCAATTTGACTTCATACAGAGAGAAAGTTTGGTTTCCAAAGAGGAACTTGTAACAGTTGAAATTGTGTAATGTACCTTTAAGAAATACTGTGTTGCTAAGTTACTAGGGGAGCGACGTCACTACACGGCATCTTGTTTTTTTTTATCCTTGAAGTTATGAGTTTTGAGCGGCAACTTCTGCAGAGGCAAGGCAGGCACTTCTTGGGGCCCCAGACCAGTAGGAGGTCCCCCAAAGGCCTTTCAAACTTTCAACCACAGCAGTGTCTCTAAATGTGCAAATTTCGCAATGACAGTAGGAAACCTCCCTAAGGGGGCCCCTGCATCTGACAACACTCAAAATCGTTGCCCTGCTAAGCGTTGCATCGTTCCTGTGAAAAACCAAAATTAGTCACTGAAGGAGAATGAAGATCAAGCGTCTAGACACTGGCAGAAATAAAGGTAATGAATGCTGATTGGAGGGGCCCCCAATGAATTTAAAAGACTCTAAAATCACAGCTGAACTTTTGCGATGGCGGATTCCTGTAACCGAGCTCCTACTTTTGACTTTTGCCTCTCAACTCAACAATGTCATGAGGGTTTGTGTGGACACTATTCTGTTCATGTATGATTAAAATAGTAGCCGTACAACCAGGCTTTGTGAGGTTTGTTATATTGTTAGTAATAAATGACGAGCGTTGTGGAAACCCCTGACACATGTGGTTGTGCACTTTTGGCTAACTTACTGTCTCCAACGCTCTCCAAAACAGCGTTAACCAAGAGGCATGAAACCCAAACCTTTACCAACTTATTGTTTATTTTAGCTTAATTAACCACTTTGCATTACTGGTTTAGAGTTTTTGGAGCTGGGATATTGTTTGAAGACTTGAGTTTGGCATTTTATCCTTTGCAGTCTTGATTTTTTGGGGGGGAGCAGGAAGTGATTTGAACAAGACGTGAAGCTTAGGAGTAGAGAGGGGCTTGGAGACACCAAGTCAGCAGCTCGGTTATTAAGGTGCATCAGTATTCATGACAACTGTGATGTTTTAATTTGGCTGGGTTGTAACTGGGTTACTAATTTTGGCTATAGGATACCAATGCTGTTATTTACGTTATTATGGATCCTCGGCCGTTGTTAAGCTGCACGTTTTTTGATGACATCACTGTCAGCGGCCGGCGAGTGAGCGAGTAGTGTCTGAAATGTTTTTTTAAAATTTCCTGAGTGAGTGCACGATTTAGTCAACTATTTATAACTCACTTTATAGTGAGGAGGGGAATGAGCGTGTGATTTCAGACACAGCCAGAGACTAAAAGTGCAAAGTGACAATCTGGAGGTAATGAGACGCAGGTGAGCACATTGAGGGCGGGGCTTACACACAAGGCGGGAAACATGAGGAGCAGGATCTGGAAGACAGAGACAAGGGTGAGTAACAAAGTAAAACAGGAAATGAGAGTAATGAGAATCAATGAGAACACAACTAATGTAGTATCGCCTCTGTGGTTCCTTGCGGCGAAAAGAAACCAAAGGCAACAAAAGCAGTGATCGTTATTTATTAAGATCCATTTTAATGATTTAGAAAATAACATTTGATAAAGGAGGGTTTAAGAAACACAATTAATGGCGGGAAGAGAGC